GGTAAATTTATAATATATAACTTTAAATTAAATAAATTTATTTTATTTTAGGAACATCTGATGTCTACGTGGAGACAAATACAAATTTTTAATAAGCCAAAAGATAATCCAGCTCTGAGTGGCTCTCCTTTAATCCCTGTAAGTTGTAAAAAAACCAGATTAGATGTATATTTGGAGCGAGAAAGCGCTAATGCTCCAATATACCAAAATATTGAAATCCTTGATATGAAGACCAAAATTAATGCTTTAATATATGGTCAAAAATTGCCATCTGATCAAAATATTTTGCAATATTGGCAATCCAAAAAATTTCAGGATCCGGAATTATATGCCCTATCGCGAGTAGTTCTAGCCGCTCCTTGCTCTCAAGTATCTGTTGAGAGATCATTCAGTGCTCTGGGATTGGTCCTTACACCGCTACGAACAAGATTAGAGAAATCTATATTAAATGATATTTTATTAATTAAACTTAATAAAAGTGTATTAAATAACGTTATATTTTGATTTTTATTATATTTATATAAAATTTTTATTTGTATATATTATATCATGTATTATTTAATTATATATAATCATTTTACTAATTAAAATACGAATAATTGAAATACAAAATAAAATTGTTACCCAAAATCTTGAAGTACTGAAAAAAATCTAAATTCACAAATACTTGTTTTAAGTGCTGAAATTTTTAAAATTGAGGTCTTTATAGTCCCACCTTTCTTTTGATGAAAGATAAATTTGTTTTATTAAATCATGTTTTTGGGAATTTTATATAAATCTAAGTGCTAAACTGCTAGATTTTCAAAAAGGGCTAAATTTAATAAAGAAAAATACTAAATATATTTGAGGGGAATTAAATATTTTTAACTTACCTAAACCTTGACATTTCGCTGATAAATGTCCAAACTTTTGTGCCATCTATGACCACAATCTTAAGGCTTACATGACGAGGTAACGTTTGAAGTTTTTATTAATAAAAAAAATATTTAAAAAAAAATATATTTTAATGTTATATTTTATCTGACTCTGAATAACGAATAAAAAAGAAAGATTTTTAGAGAGATTTTTATATAATCTTAAATTTTTTTTTTAATAAATCCCCCATTTCACTAACACATGTTAAGAAATCCCCCATCAATATAACCCAAAATTTTAAAACTAATTTTTTTTCAAATATATCTGAATCTGAAAGAAAAAATAAAATGAAAAAGAAAATTATGATTATGATTTATAATAAAGGGGTATTTAAAATTTTTTAAGGAAAAAAAATAGAAGGCGAGGAAACGTTAGAAGTTTTTCTTTTTATTAATATAAAGAATTATATATTTAAAAAAAAATATATAATGTTATATTTTATCTGACTCTGAATAACTAATAAAAAAGAAAGAATTTTAGAGAGATTTTTATATAATCTTAAAATTTTTTTTAATAAATCCCCCATTTCACTAACATCACATGTTAAGAAATCCCCCATCAATATAACCCAAAATTTTAAAACTAATTTTTTTTCAAATAAAATAGAAGGCGAAGGGTGAAGTTTTTATTTTTATTTTTATTATAAAAAGAATTATATATAAAAATTTTTTTAATAATAATAATGTGGTTTTACGTCTTTATAGAGAAACCATTATAGAGAATGTATTTTATAGAGAAACATTTATAGAGAAGAAAACAATTATAGAGAATGCATTTATAACAAATGGTTTTATAGAGAATGTCGTTTATAGAGAATGATTTTAAAATGAATGTAGAGAATTATTTTGTAGAGAATTATTTTGTAGATCTTGATTTTATAGAGAAATATTATGTATGGGACAATTAGAGAGTAGTATATGTAGATTAATACGTAACAACATTGGGGATATTCTCAATATAACTGATGAAAAACATATTCCAACTAATAAAAAGGGAGTATGTAAAGATTGTCCAAGAGTGAAGGAGGTAAAAACAACATTTATTTGTTTAAATTGTTAAAAATTCATTAGATCATATGCATACATTTTGTCGTGAATGTTAGTACAAAAATTTACATGATATTTGATGATTAGTATTTTATTTAATATTTGATATGTTTTTATAAAATTTATATAATTATCTATATTCGACATTCATTTAATAAAATATATAATAAAATTTGCATTTTTTTAAATACTTTATGGTGATCAAAATATAATTAAAGAAAGGTCTCAGAAAAAAATTTTTATTTTAGTAACTTTAGTAAAATTTGCATAACTGTTTTTAGAAAACTATTAATCTAAGATTTTGTATTTATTATTTCCAATAATATTTGAATATATATTCAAAATTGTATTTGTAGATCTCAAGTTTTAATATGTTCTGAGATATTAATCAAAATTTGGGATAAAATAGACCCCACCTTTGTAGTTAAGGGATTTTTTTCCACCTTTATAGTGAAGGATCAAAAAGTATGGGTTGAATTTTAAAAGGAGAAATATTTATATGCTAGGTTTACAATAAATATTCATATTTAAAACTGCCTTTCGCGACTCGAATTGATAGACTAAAATAAAAAAAATATAAAATATTTTCAGTATAAAAAAAACTAAATCTATCCAATTGAATAAGTTAGGTCAGGTCTATTATTTTGTCAAAACTAAAAAACCAAGAATTTGACAATCCATAAATATATTTGGCTCGTAATATAAATTTGAGTTCTTGCTGTTTAATGTCGTTGTACATTGTAAAAGCACGACTTTACTTAAATAACGCTCAAATTATAGAAGTTAGAAGGCACCACTTTTTAATATTTTACAATCTAAAAGCCATCAAAAATTTAAGAAACATAATGAGCCAATATTTTTTATTAAAAAAAATTAGATCGGTTATTTTTTTAAATTAAATGGGATAGGACCTTATTAACAACAAACCTGGTTAACAATATATTTTTTTAATAATTTTGAAATAATAAATAATTTTCAAAATATCTTTATTCTAACCTTGTTTAATAAAAAGAGTTTAAAAATATTACATATGACAATTATCAGTTTTCAATTTTATATATAAAAAAATCAAAAATAAAGATTATTTATGGTATATCTTCACTGAAATTTTAATTTAACATATTAATAATATCTATTTTTACTCATTTGCTTTAAAAAAATTTAAAAAATTTCAATAATAACGATTATGATAATTGTCACTTTCCTGTAGTACATCTTCACTGAAATTTTAATTTAACATGTTAACAATATCTTCATTTACCCATTTGCTTTAAAAAAATTTAAAAAGGTTCAATAATAACGATTATGACAATTGTCACTTTCCTGTAGTACATCTTCACTGAAATTATAATTTAACATGTTAACAATATCTTCATTTACCCATTTGCTTTAAAAAATTTTAAAAGGTTCAAAAATAACGATTATGACAATTGTCATTTTCCTGTGGTACATCTTCACTGAAATTTTAATTTAAAACATATTAACAATATCTATTTTTACCCATTTGCTTTAAAAAAATTTAAAAAAGTTCAATAATAACGATTATGATAATTGTCACTTTCCTGTGGTTCATCTTCACAGAAATTTTAATTTAACATGTTAACAATATAAAATCTATGCTATGCTTTAAAAAAATTTTCAAAAATAACGATTATAACAATTGTCACTTTTCTATGGTACATCTTCATTGAAATTTTATTTTTACATCTTAATATTAAAAATTATAACCTATTTAATTTAGGATATAATAAATCAAATAAGTTAAAAATAACGATTATTACAATTTCCACTTTTTAATACATTACATCTTCATTGAAATTATAATATAAATTTTTTTTTATATAAATTTTTTTTTACCCATATATGTCGAAAAAAGTTTAAAATAACGATTATGAAAATTGTCGGTACATCTTTATTAAATTTTTATTTTAATTTAACATGCTTATGCTTACTAATCCATTTACTTCAAAAAATAATATCAAAAAAATAAAACATTATAAAATATGAAGATCTTTGAAGATCGTTGATCAAAAATATTTTTAAATAAAAGATCTTCAAAGATCTAGATCTTTGAAGATCGCTGTTAAAAAATTTTTAAAAATAAAAGATCTTCAAAAGATCTCGATCTTTGAAGATCGTTGCTCAAAATTTTTTAAAAGTAAAAGATCTTCAAATTTTACGATCTTCAAAGATCTAGATCTTTGAAGATCTTTTTATTTTGAGCAAATGTACAACTCTGGGGGACATCCATGTTTTGGGGAGAAAGTGAAGTGATGACAATTGAGGATCGTGTAGAGGCTATGAGAGAAGGTCAAATGTTGATGAATAGGAAAATGGGAGAATGTTCAAAAGTAACAAAGGAAATAGTTGGACCGCAGATGCGAGGTATAGAAAATGGAAAATTACAAGGGAAGGAGTTGCCGGAACAAGGAAGAGAAGTAAATAGACCAGAGGAGTCTGTGGGGGAATTGGAAATTGTGAAAAAAGGAGTAGGGCGGTTAGTCCAGGAATATGATAAAATTTTTAGTGAAGAGTTGGGTTGTTTGAGGGACTATGAAGTGGATATACGGATAAAGGAGGGATGCGTACCAAAATATTGTGCTGTGCGTAGAGTACCTTTTGAATAGAGGCAGGAAGTAGAAAAAGAGTTGGATCGGTGGGTAAAGGAGGCATAGTGAGTCCGGTGGAATACAGCGAATGGGCAACACCTTTGGTACCCGTAAAGAAGGCCAATGGGAAGTTGAGGTTGTGTGTGGATTTCCGGGTAACGTTGAATCCATGTGTGGTGGAGGTGAAGTTTCCGTTACCCAGGATAGAGGAGATATTGGCCAGTTTAAAGGGGAGCAGATATTTTTCGAAAGTGGATTTTTCGAACGCGTATTTGCAATTACGGGTGAAAAAGGAGAGGCAGAGGTTGTTGACTATAACAACACCGCTTATTTGCTTTTAGAAGGTTGCCGTTTGGATTGAGTGTATCGGCGCCTATATTTCAAAGGACGATGGCGGCAGTTTCAGGGATTAGAGGGAGTTTTATATTATATGGATGATGTATTAATAACGGGGGTTGCGCCAGAGCAGCACAATAGAAGATTGGGAAAAGTATTTCAGAGGATCCGGGAAAAGGGATTACTGGCGAGTAGAGAGAAAAGTGTCTTAGGAGTAATGGAGGTTGTATATTTGGGACATCGGATTAATGGAGTAGAAGTTAGACCACTAGATAAAAATATGATTGGAATTGGAAGTATGGTAAGACCGAAATTTAAGGCGGAGTTACAATCTTTTGTGGGAATGGTAAATTATTACCATCGATTTATCAAGGATTTTGCGGAAATAACAGCGCCGTTGTATAAATTGCTGAAGGCAGGAGTAAGATTTGAGTGGGGAGATGAGCAGGATGCTGCGTTTGAAGGTTTGAAGAAAAGAATTGGAGAGGAGCCATTTTGGTCTGTTTCAACAATGAGTTGGAGGTGATTAAAGCGGTGGATGCGTCCAGCATATGAGTAGTAGGGGCGTTGTTACGTGAAATAGATGGAATAGAGAGGCAGGTATTATTTTTCTCCAGGGGAGACGAGATATTCTGTAATAGAACAGGAGGCTTTGGCCGTTATTTTTGGACTGACAAAGTGCCGGGAATATTTGATTGGGAGGAGGTTTATTGTATATACGGATCACAAACCGTTGATACATTTATTCAAGAAGGATAACAAAGAGTTGATGATGCCTCTGCGGTTGCAGAGGTGGCTCTTGTTGGTAGGAAGTTTCGATGTGATTAAAATATCGAAGAGGACGAGAAAACTACTTCCCGGACATTATGTCAAGATGTGGGGCCGGAGAGGAGGTTGAAGACAAAAGGGGGACAATGGTGTAGAAAAATGAAATGGCCATGGTGAGGGCGATGCCAAGAATTTAAAAGGTGGCCCGGTAAATTGGGAAGAAATTCGGACGGCGACGTTGATTTATGTAGGATAAAGAAATGTATAATGGGTCGAAAACCCTGGAAAGAGGGCGATAGAGTTTATAAAAATGTTGGCAAGGAATTGACAGTGATGAACGATTGTGTAGTGCGGGGAAATAGAATGGTGGTACCGTATAAACTTAGAGAGGCAGTAATGGGAATGTTACATGCGGGACATCAGGGAGTGAAAAGGATGAAACAATGAAGGCGAGAATATGTATGGTGGCCAGAGATGAATGAGGAGATTGAGAGATTGGCAAGGAAGTGTGTAGTATGCAATACTTGGGCTAATATGCCAACAAAGGATAAAGGAAGTACGTGGCCTAAAGCATCAGGACCCTGGGAAAGAATCCATGTGGATTTCTTTGAATTTGAAAGGATTGAATATTTTCTCGTGGTAGATGCGTATTCTAAATGGGTTGAGTTTGAGATGGTGGGGGATTGACCACGAAAATTGTGGTTAGGAAGTTTAAAAATCTGTGGGCGAAGTTAGGAGTAGCGAAAGTGATAGTTTCGGATGGCGGACCGGCGTTTGGCAGTGAGGAGTTTGAAAGGTTTTGCAGAGAAAATGTGATAAAGCATATTCTAGCTCCTTCTTATCATCCGAGCTCCAATGGACAGGCATAGCGGATGGTTGGAATAGTGAAGAATTGGTTAAGAAAGGCAAAGTACGGGAAACGAGAGGTATGAATATCTGTGGCGTACTATAATAATAGTAGGAAGGGAGAGGAGATGTCGCCGTCAGAGATATTCTTAGGACGCAGAACGAGGATTAGGTTGGATGCTTTAAAGCCAGGGTCAGATAGGCCAGAAATGGAACGAAAGGAGGAGAATACAGTGAAGTTCACGGCGGGACAAACAGTGTGGGCCCGAGTATATGGGGAAAGGAAAAAGTGGCAGTCCGGAGTAGTGATGGAAGACGTGGGGAAGAAGTTGAGTAAGTACCAGTTTCAGGATAGAAAAGTGGGCATGCGGCATCAAACGTAGAGGGGTCGACCCGGAGCAGCAATAGAGCTCAGGCCGGATGGACATTAAAAAAAATTTTTTTTAATGGGGTCAAGGTCACGGATGATAGTCAAGGGGATGTCTTGCAGAGGATGGTAAAGGGATGTTAAAAAAAAAATAAATAATAAATAAAATATATATATGTAATTGGTAGTAAAAAGATAAAAAAATTTTCTTTGGTATAAATGCTAAATTATATAGGTAAATTCAAATGGTATGGGGAAGAAATTGGTAACATTTTTTTTTTATAATAAATAAATTTTGTATTATAATCAAATTGTAAGGTAAAATTGGTAACATTTTTCTCATAATTATTTAATTGTATATGAATATATTCCTCCTTAAATTATATTGTAATAGCTAAGAAAAAATATGATGTTTCAGAGTACCTCTTATCCTGAGAGTCTTAGACTACTTTGCGAATTCGATTCTTAATTTTCCAAATTAGTGTACTCTTATAGTCAAAGTTATATATTTTATTTATTAAATGAATATTATTTTATTTTATTGCAGACTTCTGGAGAAACACTGTAAAATTAAGAACTAAATAAAACAAAAATTATTTTTTTTAAATAAGTAAAGTATATTACAAACATGTATATTGAAATAATTTGGGGTGTAAATGTAGGGAAGGTGAGTAAACCGTTAGGGATTTATAGTTTTTTTTCTTGACCATATATTTTTTTAAAAAATTAGTAATGGAAAAAAATATTTAAAGTAGTATAAGGTAAGTTTAAGGGGTATGTCATTTTTGCAGTTTGGTCAATTTTGGTAAGTGTGTAAAAAAAAAATAGTAATAATAGGATATACAAAATAGTTAAAGCTTAATTAATGTATAAATGGAAGGTTTACTTTTGTATTTGGGTTTTAAAATTCTCATAAGAATCAGAATAAAAACGGAATCAGATTGCATTTTTGTGTTTGTTTTTTTTTGAAAAAAGGGGAAAATATAAATTGGATCAGATTTTATTTTGATTATATAAATTTGTGTTAATGTTGTTCTGGTAAAGAAATTTGTTTTTAAATGTGATTTATGTTTAACGGGAGCAAGAGTAAGGTTAAGCGAATGTTAGTAATATTAAGAAAGTTTTCATAAAACAAAACGAGAAATTGATTTATTTGTAAAGTATGGGGTTGGTGAAGGGAATAGAAAAAGTTTGTTTTGAAGTAAAATTCATTAAGTTTTGTGTTGAATTAAAAATTAGTTTGGTTTTTGAATTAAGATTAAAAATAGTATTCGCTAACATATTGGAGTTATTCTTGAGGGATTCAAATAAAATGCCCATAGATAACCGGTAAGTATGGATTATTTTATATTTTTGTAGAAAGGGTTAAGAAGTTTGTTATTTTTTTTTCCCATAGTTTTTGGAAGAGGAAATGAAATGTGAAGTTTTTTTTTTAAAAAAATATATATTTGTAGATAAAGATCATATTGTAGGAAATAATAATTCCGAAAAAATATATATATTAGTAGTGGGTAAGGTTAAATACGGTAGAGGGTAGTAGGAGTAATAAAATTTATATATGAACCTATTATTGTCGTGTCAGTTACATAGAGTTAGGGTCGCTTATGATTCGAACGACTATAATTAGCAAAGACATGGAGCCATTGGTGAGTGAGTGGAGAATGATGTCCATAGATCAGGATCCAGGAACTTCTCGGCTCGGAGTGCAGAACCCCGACTAATGATGCAGACGAGGTGATAGGCGAACAACCTGTTTTCGATGCGGAGTGGAGGACATATGCAGCGGGACTGCCCTCAAGGAAATTTGCCAAGGAGACGAGATATGTATGGAGAATTGGGAAGGCCCCAGTCCCGAACAATGGCTCCTCAAGGAGGACCGGATATATTGAGAGTAACCCCGCCGCCCCGGCAGATGATGCCTACAAGGCCGATGCCGCCGCCACGGCCGGTGCCATCAAGTAGATCGGGAGCCTTTGAATTGCCCTCCACGTCATCGCAGAGGCAGCCAGTGGTGTGGGACGCGCCCGGATGGCAGGCAGTAACGGAGGAAGAATTTCTGGAGGTTGGGGTGAGCACGAGGGAGTTAGATGAGTTGTTTGAAGACTAAAGACCCTTACCCCCCCCCCTCTAATAGGGAACTTTGGAGTGGGGAGGGGTGGAGGTGTCATAATATTATTTTTTTTGGTGTTTATTTTTTTTGTCGTGAAATTTTTTATATTTTTGTTAGCGCGGATTACTATTATAATATACGCGGAATTATTTCTTTTAAGAAAGAGAAGACTCAATTTTTTTTAGTTAAAAAATATAATTTGTAATTGAAAATATATTTTAATTTTTCTGAAATTTTAATTTTAATTTTTGAATTTTTATAATTTTGTTAAAAATACTTTTTTTGTTTAAGAAAAAAATAGATAGACTAATTTAAGTTTCGGTGTCAATTTGTTTTAAGAAAAATAAAAGTTAAATTTATTCCTGAAAGGGATAGTTCAATTCGTCAGGAAGGTCATTAAGTAACGGCGCAACGTATTCCCCCAAAAAAACTAATTAATTTTTTTACAAATTAAAATAAAAATTCATGTGTAATCCCATTAAATGAATAAAAACTGTTTGAGTTATGACACTAAAAATGTGAAAGTTCGCAGAAATCGTTATGATTTTAAAAAAATTTTTCCTCTGGAATAGTAACACTGTTATCACCATTAAAATGCCTGTATTTTATCAATAATCCTTAACGTATTCATTAGTTCATTTCCCTCTGTAAATAATCTTATTGGGAAGGGGGGGGGGGTTTAGTTGTCTCCTTATATATTCTGAAGAGCAGTAGACTCCTAGGGGATAGGGAGTGAAATTTTTTTTAGGATAAGGAGTAAATTTGCGCCTGCTGCTTCCAAATTCTTTTGAAGACACCTGACAGATCCAATTAATTGAACTATTAATTACTTGTTATTGAATTCGTCTCTTTAATCTAATAATTGTATATGAAAATAAATTATAAATTATAAAAATAATATTTATTTTAGCCAATGGCTTGAGTATGTTTTTAATAGCTATACTTAATACTTGTACGTAAATAATATCTTCAAGATTTAGGCTTGAATGCCTTTATTTAATGTGTTTAATTTTCAAATAACCTATAAAATATATAATTTTTTGAAATGCAAAATATTATTTTAAATAATCTATATTGCTAGCGAAAGAAAGAAACAGCCTATCTTTAATTATTTTTTATTTTTAGCCCCATTATCAAAATTTGAGAAGGAGCTGAATCCCATTTCCTCCGCCAAAAATTTTTTATATTTTTTAAAAAATGTTAAGTTTGAATCACTTTAATCCTTATTGTTTTAAAATTTTATTTTATAGAATCAAAAATCTTCATACTAATTTTATAGCCACATACAGCATCTACATGAGCGGGGGATGTAAGAACACTTTACATTCAATTTTTTAAGGAGGTAGGAAAAATTTATTGGGGGATTATCTAAATTTTATGTGAAATATGGCCAAAAGTGTTAGTAAAATTAATATTTTTATTATAAACCTATTAAAACACAATGATATTGCTAAAAGTTATTAAATTATGGTGTAAAATCAATTATTGCTTTGTCATAATGACCAAAAAGAGTTTGAATTTCTAGGGTGGCTTTTGTTTTGCCCAACTCTTTTTATTAGCTTATAGACGTTTACGCAACAGTTTTTGGACCGTTGTACTTACTAATACGTGCGGCCTGCTCACAAACGTTTAAAGGGCTTCTCAGATTTTTTCCCCTAAATTCTTTTATTAATCCTATTAGATGAAAATGAGAAACATACGCTTTATCACGTGGATAATTATTTGATATCTCTTTAATTGTTATATAAAAGAGTCAGACATTCTATCAGCAAACTTATATTCATGCATAACATACTATGATAATATATTAATTGTAAATAAAGAGGGTTTTTACTTTTATTGAATTCATGCTTACATTCACATTATTTTGATAGTTGGCAGAGTATAAATTATTTAAGTTATTCTTTTTAAAATAAAGAACACTTATAATTTGAGATGTAAAAAAGGCGTCGAAGGCTGAAAAAAGTTTTAGCAGAAGAGATATAGTATTTTGAGGGGGGGGGGCTTGCATGAGTGAATATCTTGAATGTGGATGCTGGCCACATAGAAGACGGAGAAGCAAAAAGTTTGATTTTTCATAAGTCGTTGTCGCTTCTACTTTTTTTAAAGTATCATGTAAGTTTCACCACCAACAAATAGTGATGATAAATAGCTCAATTTTAACAGGTTTTTAGCCAATTTTAAAAAGGATAAACCAAATTTTTAAGCGCAAACTATAATCATAACCTTGATTGAGGTTTAAACTTATAGGATAGCTCAATCTTGAAAAAAATATACATCTTCATACAAGGTTTAGCGAATTTTTTTTACTGTTAAGATTTTGGATTTAAAAACACTATAGGCAAAAAATAGATATTTTTCAAATATTTGAGTATTAAAATTTTTAAATAGGTAGGATGTTATAATTTATTATATAAAAAAAAAATTTTGGCTGCTTTTTATCAGGTTCCTTGGTATCCTCTTGCCAGTTTTTCATTAAATTTTTATTGACTGAAATATAAAAAAATAACTATTCGGAACTTGTTGACAATCATAAAATTTTTTGTATCAGCGTTTACATGATAGAAAATTCATTGGAGGCAAACACCATATCTATCTCTAACAACTAAAAAAGTTATGCCCTTCGGCCTTGATATTTGACCACCCATTATGTTCTACCAAGACCAACCCCATGGTATTCATATAAGAAATTTTATAATGTATCACCATTTATAACATTAGGCCTTTTGATATTTAGGCTGGGAATAACACTTAAACATTAGTTATTGATAATAAACTCTCATCGAGAACGTTTAGAATATTGTTAGTGTAGAGAATATAAGATCGAGTTAGACAAAAAATTAAAGATATTTATTTAAGTAATAAAATAACCATTGGTTGTCACAATTAATCAGTATATATATTTCGGTAAAAGTTAATTGTATATAATAAACATTTGAATATTATTTCAACAAAAAACAAAGTATATTATCAATAGTATATATTATTATTTAGCAAAAATAAATTTATTATATAAATTTTGCCATATGTTAACTATAGCCGCAAACAATATATAAAAAGAAAATATATAATATTACTCCAGTTATAACAACTAGTTTATTATCACTGTGCATGTATAACTTCAAACTCAACTAAAGTGCTATCTTTGAATGAATGATAAATAAATATTTATTAATAAATTAAAATTTTTTTATCAGATATTTTCATTTTTTCTCTATTAATTGTTTATTTTTACTTTACCCTGTCCCCCTTTATGTGCTTACCCCCTTATATCTTCAGAAAAACAGGAGGAAAATCACCTCCCTCTCTCATGTAGACGTTGTGTAGAGGTAAATATTGTCATATAGCTCAATTTAGAAATTCCACTTTTATTTTAAATTAATAAAAAAAAATTTAAACTAGTAAGATAAAATAGAACAATTAATAATTTTTTTGAACTCGTCCTGCTATCCCGTCTAATGGATTTAAAACAATAAGAGATTTAAAAATTTTGAGAAAATTATTATATTTATTTTTAAAATTCTTTCAACATATTCCATATCCAAAAGAAATTGCTCTAAAAACCTAGATGCGCATTTGGCGAATAGCTAACAAAACGATTTAAACCAAATAAATATGGTAGCAGGGAGATTGACAATATATAGTTGAAGATATTTATGAAATTTTCTTAACTGTGATGATACCTATATGTTCAACATTGGGCATTCGATATCGAAATGATTTCTAGATCTATGTCATTAATATAAAATTTATTATATTGAATGGAATTTTATTATCTAATAAAAGCTTTTATTATGCTCAACTAAAAAAATTTTTTAATTTATTAGTTAAGTTAAAAAAATGTTTAAAGCAATAATTTTTTATTTCTATAAATTACAGAAAAAATATTATAAGATAAAGGTATAACTTTAATTTTTAGTTTATTTTAAAAAAAAAAAAGATTTACCCTTATTTATACAATATATAAATTTTTTATAAATGTTATGTTTTTATCTATATGTTGATATTTATATTATAAATTTTTTTATATTTTTTATCTAATAATAAATAAAATATACGTGATAAAAATATAGTTTTCATGATATTTCGTTATTTATATTTTCTATTTTATGCCTTTGTTATTTTAAGATAATTTCAAACGTGTGAGACGCAGCTAATAAATGAATTCTGCCTGGACAAGATTAAATGCCATTTTTACATTTAGCCTTTGTGTTTTAGCTCTGTTAACATTCTGCTGTTTTGTTTCAACATGTTTAAATGATTATACCTCAGCAACTCTTACCCCTATCAAATTAAATGCCGATAAAATATCTGTGTAAATTATTTATATTATGTATATTTAGATATATAAAATTTCAGGAGCTTACTTTCAGACTTTACAGGTAATGGTGAACCTGCAGATTTAGGATTTCTAACTTTAAATATCAAAGCAGGTTGAATATAAATATTTTATGCTTATAATTATTTCTACCGCTAGATTTAAATCCCTTATTTAATTGGAATGTAAAACAACTCTTTATTTATGTTATTGCTGAATATACTAGTGAACAAAATGTGTTATAATTATATGAACTCAAAATTATTTTTAAAATTTAGGTTATTAATCAGGTAATATTATGGGATAAGATTATTGAAAGAGATATATACAACACTAAAAAGGCTATTATTGATATCAAAAATCTCAAGCCTAAATATTATGTATGGGATGATGGTGTTGGTGGATTAAAGTAATATATAATTGATTTTTATTTTATAAAATAAATTTTATATTTTTATTCTCTATAATTAACACAATATTTAATTATTCTAGAGGAAATGAAAATGTTACTCTTAATATGTATTGGAATATAATACCAAACACAGGGCCAATATTTACTTCTGGATTAAATCTAGATACAAATTCACCTAAAAATATTATCAGGTTCCCACATTCCTACGCCACAACAAGACATTAAATTTACAATATTAATTAAAAAGATGAAATATTTTGAATAAATCTTATCTTTTGATAAATTTTATATATTTTATACATGTACAACATGAAACTTTAAGACCTAACTAAAGAAAATCATTTAACTAAATACTACAAATTATAAATATTTGTAATTTGTTAAATTAATGTATTTTGGATTCAATATTATTACCAAAGGCTCAGAGATCCGTTGGCACTGCTATTCATTTTATAACTTAGTATAGCGATTGTGAGAATGTTCACTTTTTTTTGAGAATAATAAATACATTAACTATAAATATGAAAGTTAATCATAAAATAGGTAAAAATTAAAAAGTATTTGAATGAAGATGAGATAACATTTATTTAAAATTTATTTTATACCATTTCTAGTATAAGTCTAGGCAGAGATTAATAAAAGCCACGTTTTTTTAAAATTTATATGGTACCCATACCAATATTAACACCTTATAAGATGATAATACTAATTCCAAATGCTTATATCATATTTATGTAGTATAATTTTTGAAAACAAATATAATTTTTATGAAACTTATATAAAAATTATAAGAAATAGAGCATAGCACCTGCTTTGGTCTAAGAGATATTTACATAAATTCAGAGCATAATGTTGATAAAACTTTTAAAAAAATATTATAAATTATTATTACCAACCAATCCAATAATTTTTGAAACATTGTGTGGGTTGTATAAAGGTCTATTGACTAAAGGAGTATTTGACCTGATCAAATATGACCAAATAATAATATTATTGGTGAATAAATATATTGATATAATTGCCTAATATATATAAAGCATGTTTTTTTTCTCTCTTTAGCTTTCACCTTTTCTGACAGTAAGCTCCTTCATTCTCTCTTTCCACATTATGTTATTCATACTAGTGATCTGCATTGGTCCTAATTTTGCAAGCATGGCCCGGGTTGAAATTTTTTTTAAAACAGTTATGCCGGCCCGAACACGAAATTTTTTTAAAAAAAATTTACCGATCCGGCCTGGCCCGAATTTATTTAAATATAGAAATTAATTTTTTAATTACTCAGAATAAAAGACATATGTTATTTGACGTATAGTTTCAATAAATAAAATTTAATATTTTTATTTTACATAAAAAATTCAATATAAAATTGATAATTATAGATATATTTTAAAAAAATTGACCCGGCCCGAATTTTTTTTAAAATATTAGACCTGGCCCGAACCCGATTATTTTAAATAAAATTAAGCCCATTTGGACCGGGTCATGCCAAACTTTGCAGATCTCTAATTCATACTATTTTTTTTATCTAATTTATACTTCTTCATATTAGCTCTAACTTTATGGCCCCATTGAAATTTTGGCCTTCCTCTCTTACGTTTACCCATCACTTTCAAACTCTCAACCTTATTTCTTATGTAGTTCATAGGCCTTCTCATTGTATGCTCATACCAACTAAGTCTGTTTACCATTATCTTAGTCATAATGGGCACAACCTTTATACTTCCTAGTATTCTTGTACTTCTAACTTTCTTGTTAACCCAGCATCATCCTCAGCATTCTCATCTCCATAGTTTGTAGACTTCTCTCGTCTGATTCTTTGGTTGGCCATGTTTCCGAACTGTATAGAATAGTTGGTTGTACTATGGAACTGTAAATTTTTCCCTTCAATTTGTGTGGGATTCTTTTGTCAAAGAGCACTCCAGATAAAGATCTCCACTTTAACCACCCTTGATTAATTTTACTCTCTTTCTCTAGCCCAAATATTTGCAGCTCTCAATTACCGATATCTGCCATTCATTTATATCAATACTCTCTGTTTCATCTCCTATCACCATACACTTCGTCTTTTCTCTATTTACTTTTAGTCCGTGCTTTTCTAAGATGCTTATCCAGCTCAATAATCTTTCTTTCATTTCATCCTTGGATTCGGCAAGTATCACAATATCTGCAAATATCATATTCCACGGGACTGTTTGTGGTATAGACTGTGCTAATACATCTATTACTGTTATGAAGAGAAGTGAGCTGAGAGCCGACCCTTGATGAACTCCCTCAGCTATTGTGAAGCCTGTTGAAGTACCAGTTGTGCTACGGACCATTGTTGTATGGCCTATATACATATCCTGTATGATTCTTATATATTTTTCAGTAACCTTTTTGTGGCGTAGCGCCCACCAGATAAGTTTTCTTGGGATTCTATCGAAGGCCTTTTCTAGATCGAGAAAGACCATGTATAACATTTTGTTCTTTTCCCTGTATTTTTCACTTATTTGCCTATTTAGGTGGATAGCATCAGTTGTTGATTCCAGGCATAAAGCCAAACTGAGTCTCTCCTATTTCGATTATGTCTCAACCTTTTTTATATTATTTTTTCGAAGAGTTTAAGACAGTGTGACATTAGTTTTATGCCCCTGTAATTTTGACAATTGTGTGGATTTCCTTTATTTTTGAAGATAATAACTAGATAGCTCAGCCTCCATTTTTGAGGGATCTCTTCATTTCCCAGTATTTTATTGTACAGATTTGTGAGGAGATGTATTCCATCATCTAGTGCTTTAAAGCTTTCTATTGGAATATCATCTGGACCCCTAGCTTTGTTTTTCATAATTGGTTGTACAAGGTTTTGACATGGGGAGTGATCATGATGTAGTATATGGGGATTAAAGTTGAGAAGCTGAAAATTCTTTCCATCTATTTAATATTTCTTTTTCCTTTATTATCAATTTCCCATCTTTATTTTTGATAACTTTCGGAGTTCCGTTTATATCCCTAGAATTTTTTTCTCGCTGTTTGGCTAATCTGTATATTTTATTTTGTCCTTATTTGGTATGTAGTTCTTCATACATGTCATCGTTAGCCATAGCGTTGGCCTTAGCCACCCCCTTTGTAGCTATTCTCTTAGATTTTTTTAATTTGGGTTTTTGGATTTGAACCATATTTTATATAGGGCTTTTTTCTCCTGTATAGTGGTTTGTACCTCTTCATTTCACCATCATAGTTCTTTGTATGAATTGTTGCCTTTCCTTGTCAAGCCTAGTGTCAATTTGGCAGTGTCTACTAATCTGAATGAAAAGTCTGCCCACATTTTTTCACTATATGTGAGGAATCTATTGTTTCAATGTTTGCATTGATTGCAAAGGCATTTGTCATTGTTTTTAATTTACCCCATTTGATGCATGGTTCAAGTTTTATCTAATTTTGATTGGATTTATTTGAGATGTGTAATTCCATGACTAGTAGTTTTTGTTGCGCCGCTATATCTTCTGGGTTGACTTTGCAGTTTATTACATCTTTTAATCATCTGCGAGAGATTAGCATGCAATCTATCTGTGTTTTCCTTGTACCACTTTCATATGTTATTAAATGTCTGTCTTTTTTCCTATAGTAGGTGTTGGTTAAGGCTAGGTCTAAGGCTTGCACAAATTTAAGTACATGCTCTCCTTCATCATTTCTTTCTCCAACCAACATGATGCCTTTTGTAGCTATTGATTTTCCCACATGTGCATTTAAGTCACCACCTATTATGACTAAGTCATCCTTAGGAATTTCCATTACAGCTTCATCAAGGATAGCTCTAAAGTCATCTTTCTCCTCTTCTTTGCAACCCGTTTGAGGAGCATATACTGAAAGGATGTGTAGTATTGATTGACCAATGCAGAGTTTTATCTTCATTATATCAGAGATCCTGTTGACTTCTACTACTGAGGAGGTTAGATCTTGACTGAGGATGATGTCGACACCGTTCCTATTGCTAAAAATTCTCTTATAGTACAATTTATACCCATCTCCAATCTTTAAAGTTTTCTGACCTTTCCATTTCGTCTCTTGTATGCACGCTATATCAACTTTTCTCTTGTTCAACATTGATGCCAATTCTCTCGTCTTACCTTTAAGTGTTCCAATATTTAAACTTGCTAATATTTAAATCATGTTTATGCCAATCTAATTAGGTTACAATTTATTTTAAAATATATTTATATCATCAAGGCATCGATATAACTATAATTTATAATAAAATATAGGGATTTCATTTTAAAATATAAAAATAAATGAATTTTTCTCGTTATTAAGATTGGATCTCAATATATAAATAAATTTATGAATTTTGCTAATGAATGGTTTGAGAAAATTACTAATTATCAATTTATATTATACTATTTACAATAATCCAAACAAGATGGGTATCATCAATAGAATATAAGGAGCAAATACAAATATGCAAGAAAGCTCTGAAAGCAGCTGTTAAAGAAGTTGGATGAAAAATTTAAAATTTTAAACTCTTTAATTAGCTATCTTATTGTAAATGCAAAAGGATAAATGTACTTTGGCCCACATAAAAAACTAGATGTGGAAAACGCAAAATTCAATCATTCCATGATTATATAATTTCTCCACCTGAAGAAAAACAAATAAAGATACTTAGAAAAGAGAAACAATTCGAATACATATGCTCACACTACTGATTATTTATTGGATGCCCAATATATGGGGAGAATCTTACTAGTAGGAGTTTAATGAAACATGTGATATAATACAAAAATTCAGCATTCAAAAAGGTGATGTTAACCAAACTATTTTAAGTGATATCATAAATTTCAGAAGTAAAAGTGACAATATTTTTTTCCGAACTGTATTATGGGTAGTGGGTAACTCACTGAAACTCGGGGTAATTTTTAATATTATTTTTTTTATTGTTTGGTTTGATAGGAAGAAGTCTTTTAATTTTAACAATTTAGCTATAACTTGTTTAATTTGGTATTTCAATAATTTGAGCGATATAATTTTAATAAAATTGTAATAACTGAAAACAATATATATATGAGTATCAATTAAATTATATTTAATTTTATGGGTCATTTAATTTCAACGATTTCAAACCCTATTTCTTTTTTGAAATATAACCCTTTATTCACAAAAAACCATTTATTCTAATAAATTGATTAGATATTATTTAGTATGTGATTTAATAGTCCTAACTTAGTACCTTCATATTACATGTCTTTATTGTAAAATTAAAGAATTATGAAAATTTTCACAAGTTTTTATAATTTTTTAAATATATTCCGTATTTATTGCAAAATTTTTGAATTATGATAAAAAATTTCCACCAAAATCCATACGATCATTTATTTATTATTTTTGAATAAAAAAAAATCTAAAATTACGCCAATTGAACGAAAAAAGTATGCAATTTTTAAAACTTTTGAGTAATGAAGCTTTGAATTATTATTACATCAAAAAATTTCCACCAATATCCAGACTTTTTATAAAAAAAAATTTTTTTAAATTTAAAAAATAAATAATATTAAAATAAATAAATAAAAATAATATTAAAAATTTCCCCGTGATTCAGTGATCTACCAAATTATGCTATATTCAATTCATTTTTGAATAGGCTCAGCATAAAAAAAAATGGAGGCAAACTGCCAAAATTTATTCTTTACTCCCCTCAGATTTTTTATTACCTACAGAGTTGTAAATTGCTCAAAATAAAAAGATCTTCAAAGATCTAGATCTTTGAAGATGTAAAATTTGAAGATCTTTTATTTTTTAAACATTTTGTGTAACGATCTTCAAAGATCTTCATGATATTTATTTTTTTACCCCTTTATTAAAAGCCCAGATGTTTTTCAATTTTATTAATATAATATTTCTTTTATGTTTTATACCTCTCCTCCTGCCTTGATGAAAATTGAAAAACATCTGGGCTTTTAATAAAGGGATAAAAAAATAAATGGATTTTTGAAGATCGTTGATCGCAGCGATCTTGATATTTGAAGATCGTTACACAAAATTTTTAAAAAATAAAAGATCTTCAAATTTTACGATCTTTAAAGATCTTGCTCAAATTTTTGAGCTAGATCTCGCTCAAAAATCTTCAAAGAAGATCTTTTGTACAACTCTGATTACCTACCTTCTTATATGTCTACCACATGTAAGAATGGAGGCAAATGGCTCACACCCCTGTTTATGGGTAATGAATAAGTCTAGTAGCAATTAAAGTTATATGCTTCTTTTTGAGTAGTAAATTTTATAGCACCCCTAATATGTTTGAATAGGGTACTTAATTAAATCAAAAATGAAATGTTTCAAAAGATTTTTCGTTTATGATTTATATTTCAACATGGCAGATAAAAATTAATAATTTTTTTTTAATTAAATGATTGCTATATTTTTAAAAAATTAGCTTTATATGAAATCTATTAATCTATCCCATATTGCACTTGCTAATTAAAAACACTTATGACATTTTAAAAATAATTTCACGCGAGGAGCAATCATCTGTGATACTCAAAAAGTCTGGAAGATTAGATTACCTTCAAGTACCAAAATGTAAGGCTAGTGAGTTCTCATTTAGCCAATTTGATAATTAGAATAAAGCAAAACAGAAGGCATAAAAAATTTTAGGGAATAAATAATGTTAGAGTTAAATAATTTTAGAGTATCATCTAAAATTAAATTGGGATAGATAAAAAGTAAAAAAATGCTTACATTTTTTATTCTTTCATTAAATAAAATTTTTTTTCCCTGTTTTACCCTGAATTTTCAGTTAGTGCAAATTCGCTTTAATGAATACAAAATATTTTTATATACTTTACTGCCAATTTGAGCTAAATGTGCATGCAAAAATTTTATTCGAAATATATTTAGTACATTTGAGCAGCACTATTTTCTAGTGATCTGCATCGGGCTTAATTTTTAGAGCCCGGCCCGTCCCGAAATTTTATAAAAAGTTTTGCCGGTCCGAACCCGAAATCTTTTTTAAAAAATTTTATCCACCCGGCCAGGCCCGAATTTATTTCAAGATAAAAATTAATCTTTATAATTACTCAAAATAAAAGACATATGTTATATGTCGTTTAGTTTCATAAATAAAAGACATATGTTATATGTCGTTTAGTTTCAATAAATAAAATCAAATATTTTTATTTTACATAAAAAATTCAATATAATATTGATAAATTTAGATATATTTAAAAAAATATTCAAGGTCCGACCCGACCCGGCCCAAATTTTTTTTAAAGTATTAGGCCCGGCCCGAACTCGATTATTTTAAATTGACCCGGCCCGAAGTCCGTTTAACCCGGACTCGGGTCGGATACAGGCCGGGCCTAACTTTGCATATCTCTACTATTTTCTATCTTTAATTTACTAAAATAGGGGAAAATAATATTTAGAGCGAAATAGGAAAAAAAAGGAGCGAAATGGGCGTAATATTAAACAAAAATAGGGGAAAGTAATTTTAAGAGCGAAATGGGCGTATTCAAGAGAGAAATAGGTGGGAAGGGAATGATATTAGAAGCGAAATAAATGGAAGTAATTCATATAGCTTTAGAAGTAAAGAATTGTAGTAGAGAAATTTTGAAAGAGTAATAAGGGAAAATAAATCTAGAAAATAGGTAAAAATTACCAGGGGAAAGTTTGACTTGCAGAAGAATACCGTGTTATTAAAAGAAGTGAGGAGAAAGGACACTCCAAGGAAAGAAACGTATGGCATTATCAAGGAAATCGAGATGTGATGAATGCCGAGTTGCATAACAGTGAAAGAGTTGCCATTTAATGAAAAAGATGGAAAGAAATTGGAAATAACCAGAGTGAAAGGGAGTTCGGAGATTAGTACAAAATTATAAAGAAATTTGCAACAAAAATTTGGGGTACTTTAGAGATTATGAATTGTATATAAATCGTTAAACTTGTATAATGTTATTTTGGTATCAATTCTATTCGGGCCGTTTTTAAAAATCAAGCAGAATCGTGCTCTTTAAAAACAAGAGTTATGCATTTCGTTATTAAATGTGGTCGTTCTTTAGCATATTAAAACCTCTAATAGTTTGGACAAATATTCAAGCTAACTAAAAAAAAATAAGGAAAAAAACAATATGCCAAGAATAGTATCTAGAAGTATTGTTGTTACAGATATAAAGAATAAAGAAGAATATAGGCACGAAAAACCTTTAAATGTATATTATTGCATATGTGGGAAAATGGTACTTATTCTAGGTTTCAATTTTTAAATATTTATAATCATATTCTGAATAAGATATTTATAATATTAAACATACCTTCAATGCTTTAAACACTTGTAAACTGAGAATATACTAATCTTATTAAAATTAAGTGTGAAAGAAGAATAAATTTTTTTAAAAATGAATAAAATATATACAATATATATTAAAAGTAGGGAAAAATTAAACTATATTTTATATTTATGAAGATTGTACAGTGGAAAAACTCCCCTTAAGAAGAAAAGATGATGCTCGTGTCATTGATGCTTCAAAGCATGTATTTAAGATTACATATAATGATGAAGAAAACGAAACTGTATATATAAGAAGAGATGAAGGAATTGAAAAATTATTTATAATGAAATGTAAAAAGTAATCACAAAGTTGATCTATTTAACTTATAGATATCAAAAAATGATTATAAGCTTAAGGTGTTTTTAAATGAAATTTATTGTAGTTTAAAATAATATTAATCAATGTATTTTTGATATGCTTTGGATCTTGCCATATTAAAAATAAAAATCACTAGATGGATTAATATAATTAATTTAGATGTTATTAAATGCTAGATTATATCTTGTTATTTTGAATTACAATTTAGATGCTCTTTACCATTATTCTATCGACATAATCCAGCCAAAAATTTATCAATTATATTTATAATTGCCAATTCCATCTTCAAAACAGGCAAAGATTATGTTCAACAACAAAAAGATAATAAAAATAAACAGAATAAGTCCAATGAAGATAAACAAGTATTTACTTATATTTTTTATTATAATGACTGCATAAAAATTTATCTAATTATGAATAATTGAAAGGTAGAGGACTTAAATGGGAAAAAAATGAAATATTTTTCTCTATAAGGCTATGTCCTAAATATAAAAAATTTAACCTAAAAAATTATGCGAATTTTAATGAAAAAAAATATAAGCTTGTTTTAATGAAAAATTAAAATATTGGCTTAAATGATTTTTTCTGAATGTTTTATGATTCTTAAAAGTTTTATGAATTGGAAAATTTTAATTATTATATCGTTAAAATTTTGTATTTGTATAATTTTTATGAAAATCACTTAGATCTTTGCAAAATTCAAAATTTCATGAAAGGTTTTATATACGTAAAAAATCTAATTTTTTATTTAAAATCTTTTGGTAATATTTGATCAAAAATCTTTCTTCCTGAAAAAGATTTTTATTATTTGTAATACTAATAAAAATAATTAATGTAATACTATATCATTTATAAATAAGCAATGTTTAATTTGTATATTATATGAATTATTTATTTATAATTAACCAATCACTTTGATCAACATTAAATTATAAATAATGATAACTAAAATGATTTAAACATTATTTATTTTTTGCTCCTTTAAAGAAAAAATTAGAGGAATGTATAAAACTAACCATATTTTTGCTTTAGTATCTTTTTTCTGGTACCAAAAGAAAACATCATTTGCTTCTTTTTTTTGTAATTATAAGAGGTTATTACTAGTGTTATTAAAGAGCCTGATTCGGGTCAATTTCTTAAACAGCCCGATTAAGATTTTAGCCAAAATAATATTTCATAAGACTCAAGATTTGACAAGTGGAAGCCCAAACCTTTCTGCCATCTATGAGCAAATTACCAGGCTTATAAATTATTTTTGTTATAATCTTAAACACTAGTCATTACATTATTTATCTTATAAAATTAAATAGTATAATTTTTTATAATCTCATAAAAATTATCAAATGGCAAATAATGTTATAGTAATTAGAATTGACATGATATTATTGTTAATAAATTATAATATTGGGAAAAATTGAAACAAATATTATTTTTAAGATAAACTTCACTGACGGCTGGGGGAAAGCGCAAAAGTCCCCTTAACAGTAGTCTGGGGGGAGCCCTTGCTTTTATATATGGCAAAATTCCTACCTCTGCCACTGGATGGTCGAAAGATTTGGACTTTAAATATTTATTAATAAAATCTCAGACTTGCATAGTATTATTTTGGCTAAAATATTAATTTAATATTGACTAAATCGAGCCTTTTAACTATACTACCACTTACATCCTATATGAATGATATATAAATAACTTATTACTTTTAAAAAAGGAATACAACAAGGTGTTCCTTATTTTTCTAACTGTTATATTTAGACCTATATATTATCTCTCTATATATTTTATATTAAGGTTACCATAACAAAACATACCCATAATACTGGGAAGTTTAGTTCTGTCACAGTTTCAACTATCGATGATGAAGAAGACGAATTAGAAGCGGTATACATATTAATATTCTTCTTTTTTTAGAACTTGAGCAATTTAAAACTATTTATATTCAGGAGCTTTGTTTTTTCTTGTGGAAACTAAATGGTGGCTAAATTCTTTCCTTTTTTTTAAAAAGAAACAAATCACATATTTTTGCTTTATTTATAACTAGAGCTGTAGGACTTTAATTTAAAAAAAATAAAGTTACATTTTGCCATCGGCGTAAATAATAACGACAATATGTTACTTTCCTTTTTTTAAAGTATCGAATACTACGGAAAAATGTTGTGTAAATTGTTTTCATTTTCTTTCATCAATCGATACATATTTATTTTGCAATTCCTAAAATTTAAATAAATAAATAAAATTGGACAATTTTTTAAAATATATTATAATTTTCTTGATATATGTAGATTTTCAATTTTTTTTAAACCATTTTAACGGGAATTTCTTTTTAGAGTTTCTAAGATCGTTTTTTCTCTCAACGCCACTTACGAGTGTTCACACTCGTTAAATAGATTTAATACGGATGACAGGGATATATTATTTTTTATAAAACATGTAATTTTTGGAAATGGTTATTTTCTCAAACTGGAATTGATAATTCATCATGCTAGTTATGACATATTTGTCGGATCATTGAACAAAAAATTCACGGATTGAATTGATCGGACAAGAATTTTAAAATATTTTCTCGAATCAGACCGACTTAAAAATAGGTCTGCCCTTAGTAAAATTCTGACTTATATAAATATTAAAAAATAAATATAAGTTATATCTGGGCTGAAAAGTGGGCCAAGGACCAAAATTATCTTACCCCCCCCCCCATTCCGCATATGCTAGGGTTAGGATATCAAATGGTATGGGCTTCAATGAAGGATTTGGTTTAATCTATAGATAAAACAGTTATTAATACCTGTTTATGGGTTTAGGGTTGGTTCAGATCCCTGATTTTGGGTTTAAAGAATAAAAACTACTTGAAATTTGATTTGTTAAAATATGTAGCCCTCATGAAATTAAACAACTAATCATAAAATGACTCATCTTATATATCTTTTATGACCAATAAAAATTATTTCATTTTAATATTTATTTTTGCAAACCGATCGTGATAATATGATAAATAACTTGTATGTTGTCAAGTGAATATTAATTTTCTCATTTCCATGACCTACGATATATATTATATATAAACTTGAATAGTTATTATCAAAAAAGATTAAAATATTTAGTTTTAAATTTGGTTAATGGTATCCATAATCCCCATTAATTTTTCAATAGAAAGAAATATCCGATTCTTACACCGCCAACGCTATTATCATAGAAAATCAATTGAAATCTAAGAAGAAGTACACTACGATTGGTTCGGCGCTCACTCCTTTCGACTCCTCAAAACATAAATCATCGGAGCAAGAAATTATCCTAACACCTGCTAAGAGAAACAAATATAAAGGCACACTAATCGATAAATCTATTGATTAGACGATTAAATGTTGATAAATATTTTATCTTGATTATTATATATACTTTATCATTTTGGCAAATATATATTTATTTGAAAAATTGGAAAGAACATATAATATACAGCGCTATTTTATATTGAAAATTATATAACTATCAAAGTAATAGTAAAATTATCTGTTCAATGTCTTGTATGTATTATATTGTTCAAATATATTTTCTGGAATAATTATTTATTAAATAAATAGATTAATTTTATATATAATGTATATAATATTATCATTTGTTATGTCTAGACCTAAGCAAATTTAATTTGCTATATAAAATAAAAAGAATAAAATCTTTCAAACCTCAATCCTTTTTTCTATTTTTTCCTATGAAAATTTAACAGCACTTATTTATCAGTTTATTCCACTGGAGGGTTTAATACTTGAAAGTACAGACCTTCCATTATGCCTCCTACTAAGAACTTATCGAATATACAAATGAAACGCTTGGCTTGTAGAGGTCAATTGAGAACTCATTTTGTGAAAGTGAATGAATTTTCATTGGTTCTTTTGGTACGGTGGGGTTTTGGAACCTAGAGCTTATATGGGGCATGATGACATCATAATGTAGGCATAATGTTAAAATGCCACCCTTGTCTCTGTTAGAAACTATTTTTATCTAGCTCACGTCGCATCTATTTTTGAAATTAAATATTTATTATCATGATATATTACCTACCCTTCCCCCTTCAAAAAAAAAATAAAATATTTTAATCTATCATTAATTTACTAATAAATTTTTTTAAGTTTCATTAAAATAATATATATTGTTTCAAATAGTACGCTTTTAGTTCAGCTTAAAATTTTAAATATTTAACATTTGGATAAATCTCCTTAGTGGCACCTTAAAAATATATCGACTCAGATAGGTTGATTATAAATGCCATGCACTAAATTTAAAACCATGTTCACAATTTTGTTAAAAAAATTATTTACATATTTACTCAAACATTGTTTCAGCTTTAATGTCAACCTATATTTTTTTGTGCGTTTAATTAATTCATCAATCTCTTTCTTTATACTTATATATTTCTAGCACGGGTATAATCTAATTCAAAACTTCTTATTTTGGCTTGGAGTAATGACTTATAATCCTGATAATATAAATATCAAATACTCCATTTATTACTACTATCAAATAAAATTATTTTAAAATTAACATATTAAATATAAAAATTTTTAAAACAAAATCTAATCTTTAAATTATTTTAACATACCTAAAATCCTTTACGCCCTGAGGTCCTCTCCGATCTTTAAATGCCATGACTTGCTCGTTTCTCATGAAACCCAAATTAAGGGTTCCCTTAAAAACATATTAAACCTTAAATTTTCCAATTCATCTTGGCTTCAGGCCACCCTTCCCAGTAAGTCTGGTGGTATTGGTATCCGATCCCCGATACAACTTTCCCTCTCAGCCTTTATCTCATCTCGTCTCGCTGCACAATCTATTATCGATAATGGATACACTCCTTCAGACACTGACCTCTCACAGGCCTACACCTTCTGGGAGAGCAACTGCTCACCCACCCTTTGCCCTCCGGCTTCCAGCATTCAGAAAGACTGGGATGCTCCTCTGATCGCCCGTTCCGTTGAATACCTTATTTCGAACAGGCCCTTTGAGGACAATCCCAATAATTTAGTATTATATGCAAGCTCAGGTTACGAATGGCTTGAAGTCATCCCTAGTTCCAATCTTGGCCTCCTCTTGACTGGAGAACAGCTACGCATTTCCTTAGCCCTCCGCCTTGGCTGTAACGCCGTGGTTCCCTCATTTTGCATCGACTGCGGTCATCCTATCAAATCGAAAGCTCTTTGCACTGCAAGTTCTCTCATTAACGACAACCGAGTCATAAATCTATCAACAATATCCTCCTAGCTGCTCTTAAAAAAGTTAATATTCCATCCACTCTCGAACTAGTGGGCCTCTCAATGAAAACGCCATACGCCCCGATGGCATATCTTTCATTCCCTGGACTAAGGCTCTCCCCCTAGCTTGGGACTATACCTGTGTCGATTTTGCTGCCAAGTCCAACCTCTAATTTTCTGCCATCGAAAAGGCCGAAATCCTAAAAAAACAAATATGCTTGCCTCACCAATACCGTGTTTATCCCAATTGTTACCAATAGCCTAGGCATGTTCGGAAGTGATGCTCTCAATTTCATCAAAACTATAAGGAAAAAAATGAGGCAGATCTCAGGGCAGCGTCTACGTGACAGGATTTTCATTGGATGCAAATCCCCTTCAAAAACTTTTGCCTACCCCCCTAAAAAATCCCCGCTGCCTTCGGCGGCGGTGTCTCTTTATTTTTATTTTGACCTTTATAATTATATTGATACTCTTTAAGATAACTTAAATTAATCTATCTCTACCAACTAATTTTGCGATGATAAAGAATTTATTTTTTAGATAATAAATTCAATCAAAACCTCCATTATTTTTAATTAATTAATTATTATGGCATTATGAGCTTGCTGATGCAGAAAGTTTTATTTGGAAAACAATGTGTATGATTGTTTGCAATATATAGATTTGGTCGATAATTGTATTATAATAATTCTATAATAAAAGTATTAATTTTTACAGCAATAAATTTTGTCCTATTTCATCTTAAAATTTAATAGATAACCCCCCAAAAAATTTATCCTACCCCCATTAAAGCAGCTTACCCACTACCCCCTCAAAAAAATAGGATGCAAACTCTTCCTACCCCTCCCGCTCATGTAGACGCTGTCTCAGGGGACCCCAATAAAGGATTTTACCTTCGCCAGCTTTCCCTGGAAATCTGCCGTTCCAATTTTTTAAGAATTCACTCTTCTCCAGGGTGATTTATACCTTTTTTTAAAAAAAATTTATTATTATTTTTTTATCTCATTTCTCTTTTATACATACATATTTTTTAATTCATTTTTAATATATTATCAGTTTTTTAATCTACAAATAACTATTTTAAAATATGTTTTTTGGGAACTTCAAGTCCCACCTCCGTTTTTATAAAATAATGTTTTATTTTATATTTTATTTTATATTTGATATGTTAAATTAAATATAATTTTATTTGATAGTAGTTATAGTATAAATTAATTCTGTCAAAAGTCTCTGTACCCCAGATAAAAATTATGGGCAAAAAATAAATTTAAAATTATCAAATATTTAAATCTAAAAGGGAAATCAAATTTTAATTTGGTCTATAAGGAAATTGAATCATTAATATATAATAAGGAAAACTATCTTATGAGCAAATTTTTAAATAATTTGTTAGGTTACCAGATTCGTATAGCATGGATAACATTTTGCAAAGTGGTGAAAGCAACAATCGGAAAAAAAATGTTGTTTATTAATATATAATAAAAGAATAATTTTTATTAATATATAATTTTTTATTTTTATTCAAGACAAATGACAAAATTAGTTCGTTTGTTTTTTTTAATCAATACATACATTTCAGACATTGCTGGTATTTAAAAGATATAAACATAATTTTTATAAATTATACTCATTGTTGTAAGTTTTATAACAAAATTATTAATAAATATTTGTGGCATGTTGTTTTTATACGATCTGAAATATGCTAAATTTATTAAACTTTTAATTTATACAAAATTAAATGCAACATAATTCCATAGATTTTGCTTTGATATATATAAAAGAATCCTAATTAAATCAAATGTTATAAAAAAATAATACTCATTTACATCCAAATGCCTACAATGTTCTTTTTATATTGATATATAAATAATTCCAAATGTGTCTTAATAAATTTAAATTTTATAATTGAAGTAATTATTATAAATAATGATTATAAATCATTACAATGTCATTAAATTTCATTTTTTATTATTATTTTAGCCTTTTTGGTTCATTAAATATAATTAATGGAAACGTTTTCAAATCAAGAACATTTATCTTCTATTGATAGAGTAAAAAAAATTTAAATAAAATTAACTTAAAATGTAAAAAACAATACTAATTATTATATCATCAGATATCTTTGAATGAAGAAGGGGAAATACTTTCTGATAATGAAGAAGTCGATGAAAAATTATTTATAAACACATCAAACAATTCTATATTAAGTGAATCTAATGATAATCTTATTGTTCCTTTTGGTAAATTTGAAGATGATAGTCTTGAAGTTGACCATAATCATTCCAAGGATAAAAATCCAGTTATAATTTTTTATTTCCATTATATTATAATATATATAAAAACAAATATAATAATTTTATGATTTTTTTTATATTATATAAAACTTAAAAAAAAAAATTAAATTAGGAAAATAAACAAAATGACAGTATAAAAACAAAGGTGTTAATAGATCTGGAGGAAGGAGAATTATCTGATGATCCTAATATAGGAAATACAAATATATCTTCAATTGATCAGAAAATAAAAATCAGCTACCACAATAATTCTAGTCAGAATTTGACATCTACCAATAAAATAATGTGTAGGTTTTACATTAGAGGTGGTAATTGTAACTGGGGAATGGCTTGTAGATTTTTGCATCCTGGCATGAATGATGGTATATTATTTATTCTTTATATAACAATGAAAGTTTAACATTTAATTGACTTATATCTGTATGTATTTTTGACATTTAATTTGTTTATATACCTTAAATCAATATTGTAGTAATTCAAAATTTTATTTATAAACTGTAGGTTTTTATTAAAAAGAATTTATTTTACAGTTGAAATTAGTGTTGTTAACAATTTAGTGGATTTTTTAAAATTAAGATTTAACCAAAATAAAAATACATTTGAGATTTTGCTAATACATGTCCAAACCTTTTTCTAGAGTTAAATATCCAGGCTAACATAATATTTTCTGGGTTAAAATCTTTGGTTACATTTTTAAAAATCAATCTGGTTAATATAGTTGAATGGATAAATATTGACTAATTATCCTCAATCTACAGATGTGTGCCAGAGAAAATCTGCTAGCATTTAGGCATTTTTATTTATATTAAATCAGGTTACTAAGAAAACAAGCTGAGGCCAATGTGATAATTTTAATTTTTTCCAGATAAGAATTGGCTTAAATGGCTAAAAATATAGTAATTACCCAACTATACTGCTTAGCAGCATTAACTTTGAAATGAGAATATTCAAAATTTAGAACTGTGCATGATAAGTTGGCTCTTAAAATAAATATTTTTACATATTTTTTCTAAATATGATAAAGGTATTTAAGACTGTCCAAACCCATTTTAAAAAATTAGAAGTTTCAAAACTCACGTAAAATTTTCTAGGATTATGTTTTGGATATGTTTATATTTTTGTTGTAGTTAAAATAGCTTATATTTATTTTTGTAAGTTTGTATAATAAATTTTTTAGATGTTTTGGACACATCCTAATAATATTAATGAGATTATAATATTAGTTAATATTGGGTTTTTTTGGAAACAAATGGATCAGTGCATATTTAAAAAAAACTAAAATTTCATATTTTTGATAGGCTCTAGAAGTAGATTTTCAACACCGCAAGTAAAAGATCCTATAGTACAAGTTTGAAAAATATAATTTATCAGCAATATATTTAAAAAAAATTGATCGTAAATATATTTTGGTTGCTAAAAATTTATAAACTTTAAAGAAGGTATACAATAAAACTTGATTTATATCATTCAAGCATGTATGTCTTCAGGGATTAATTTAGTAATTGATTTATTTAACCATACAAAAATGGTCAAATTATTAAAGATTAAAGGTTATAGAGATTTATTTGAATTCAATTTACAAATATTCTTCACCTTTCTTTTTTAATGAATATATTTCCAAATATAAAATGAATACATGATAATTTATATTTTAGATGAAATCACTACACCCCTTGGAGGATAAAAAAATTACAGAATCAACCAATAATTTAATCCTATCTAATTCCTCCCTGGCCAACGATATAAATTCAAAAATACATAAAGAGGTGATGACATTTTTCTCTGTTTTGATTAATTTTAAGATTTGATTGGATCTAATTTATCATCAATTAAGGTATTAGACTTGATATTCAATGAGAAAATTACTTTCATAACCTAACTTCACAATATTTTTTTAAAAATGTGGTTTTATTTTAGTCCTTTTACATTTAGGCTTTATTAGGGTCATTCCACGTCAAATCAACCAAAAAAACGCGATTTTTGGACGACCATCTTTAAAATAAACGAAACTTGGCATGATAGTTATTTATTTTGTATATTTTTGTAAATTCTAAATTTTAGAGTGCTAGCTCAACCAAATCTAAAGATATATGCCTTCAAAGTAGAGAATCGCATAATGCATGATTTCTTAAATCTTGTTTTTCTTAAAAAATACTTAAGATAAAATTACAAATAATATATCATTTTATAGCCCTTAAAATTTTACATTGGAAAATATTTAAAAAAATCAAAAAATTTTAAGCGTTTTTGTATTTCCGGTAAAAATAAAAAATTAACATTCCTGGGAAGGGATATTTTTTTGGTGTTGATATTCTCTAAAAATGTTTATTACCTTTATATTAAACTATTTAATGAAAAATCTTGATAGCCATTTTTGTTTTTTTAATTTTATTAAAATTTTTATTATTTTTATAAATAAAAAAGGATAATATAGTGGTGTTATATTAATTTTAATAATAATATAAGGAATGACGTAACATAGGTGGAATTTTTCTAAAAAAAGATTAAAAATTCTTGAAAAGATTTTTTTATTGTTTCCAGATTATTTACAGACACCCACTGTTTAAAGGATATATGATCTATGTCATTTTGGGCAAATACAACATCTAATTGTTTTTTAATTGAGAATGTGCCTGGACAATAGTTACAATCTCCTAAATAACAAATAGGGAGTGCTGGATTGCATATTGTTTGAGCTAAAATATTTTTATAGTTATGTAATGGATATTCTGGCATAGCTAGTAGTTTTGCCAAATTAGCATCTACAAAAATAAGCTTAAAATTTTGATGAATTACACAAACACACACACTGTGTGTTCCACTGGCTCCAGCCAGAATACAATTTTTTGGCCGTAAATCTGTAAATTTAGAAAATTCAACTTTAATTATCGGGTACCTCTCTTTAAATCGTTCATATAATTCTTTTAAATTGTTTAAAATTAATCTTTTTGAGACTGCTCTCTTTTCCCCTTGATCATTATGGATTTATAGTCTTTTTTCCCGGGCATCGCGCGACTGACTTCATCAGAAGAGTAAAATTTTTCTATAATATTCACGGTTTCCTGATCAATTGTTTGCCCAGGTTTTATATTGGGAGATGACATAAATCCTTTTAATTCTATTAGTTTTTTTAATTTTCTTACCAAGTAATTCGTGGCTTTGAACTCCATCTCAATTTTTTTAGAGGTCCAAGAAGGGGGCAATATTTAAGGAGTTGATATTTTTTTTCCTTAGAAATAATTGGATAATGATGTTTTAAATTTTGAAGAAGTTCGTCATTTTTATTATTTTGTATATCAAACTCAGGAAGGCTGCTTCTTAATATGTTTTGACTTAATGCTTTTGTTATTTTTTTAAGTTTTTCTTGTGGATATTTCTTTTCTCCTATTCTTTTCTTTTTTATTGGGGATTGGCCTATTTCTTCTAGCGATACATTTATTATATCCAAAGTTGAAGTGGATGGGGCTAGTTCGGGCTCTTCATTTTCAGATATATCCTCAATGGATTCCATATTTATCAAATATAAGCGACATGAGTGACATAATGATTGGCCTATTGTTAATAAACCTTTGGATTTTTTAATCATCTTTGGTGTAATTTAATATTATATATAATAAAAATAATCAAGATATCCAATAATAAAAAAGATATTATATTAGTAAAAAATCCAGAATCCCATAATATAAATAAACTTACCTTTTGTAGATTTTTTGAAATAGACTTATGGCCTTCTCTAATGAATGGATTACTACACAGTGATTTCATTATTACAATTTTTTAAATTTAAAAAAAAATTTTAAGTAAAAAAAGAAATATTTTTTTAATCCTTATGTTCTTTTCAATCATGATTGATAATTAAAAATTTAATAGAAAGAAAGGAATGAAAAATAAAATAAGATGATAAAATCTTTAATTTCAAATAATAACGATAGTAGATCCAGAAGTGTGAAATATATACAAATTACGGCCTCAAGAATTTCTATTTAAGCGCAAAATGGATTGCGATAAATAGATATATTTTTATAATAGCTTGAATATAATTTTAAAGTATCTTTATAAGAGCCGCTTCCTCATTTATTGCCCCAGGACATCACACTGGTTACACTTAATCGATTTCTTTTGATTTTAATACCGCTATAAAAATATTATTATTAAATATAATATATTATTAATAAATTTAGTATAACGCCATCTATATTATCCTTTTTTATTTACAAAAATAATAAAAATTTTAATAAAATTAAAAAAACAAAAATGGCTATCGAGATTTTTCATTAAATAGTTTAATATAAAGGTAATAAACATTTTTAGAGAATATCAACACCAAAAAAAAATCCCTTCCCAGGAATGTTAATTTTTTATTTTTAGCGGAAATACAAAAACACTTAAAATTTTTTAACTTTTTTTCAATATTTTCCAATGTAAAATTTTATGGGCTATAAAGTGATATATTATTTGTACTTCTATCTTAAGTATTTTTTAAGAAAAACAAGATATAAGAAATCACGCATTACGCGATTCTCTACTTTGAAGGCGTATATCTTTGGATCTGGTTGAGCTGGGGCTCTAAAATTTGGATTTTATTATCATTTACAACATAAATAACTAACATGCCAAGTTTCATTCATTTTTGAGATGGTCGGCCGAATCACTGGTCGATTTGTCATGGAATTAATTACCCATTAACATTTTTTAAAGGCTGAATATTTTTATAAAATAAATTTAATAAAATATTTTTGCAATTAATATCTTTATTTTAAAATTAAATTGTATATAATAATAATAAATGCCATATTTTAATTATTTTTTTTGTGAGATATAAAAAACTATCCAATTCATCTGCCTTTTATTTTAATATTGGTTTCATCTTTGACCCTCAGCCAATATTAATATGAAGCCTTAATATGTTTTCCATTTTTAAATGTAAAAATAAAATTTCGCCAATTAGGATGAAATTTTGTAAGTCTTGCAGCTTTCAGATATGGCCAAATCAATTTATTAAAAAATTGACATTTCTGATCATGAATATTCCAAATATAAACGAAGATCTTAGAAAATTTAATATTGGCTTTCAACAGATTTCTTATTTGAACCTGAAATTAGATTTATTTAAAAAATTCCCCCAAAAAACGTCAATATATTGTCTAATTTATTTCTCTCATTGGCCAAAGGCCACCTGAATTTTTATTATGTTTAAAGCAGATTGTGTATATTTTTTTGATTTTTTTATAGAACAGCTGTCCATATTAATACATTATATCGTTTTGTATAAATTTTTTTAAGAGATATTAGTTTTGTTTACATTAGGTAACATGTGGTTTATTATTTATAAAAAATAACATCTATGCGTTATTGACAATTAATACTAGAGATCTATGCAACAAGAAAAGGATTTTAAAAGATTTATTGAGTCACATTCATCTTATATGGTTAAACAGTTCGATTTTGCCAATTTTTAAAAATGGTTAATAGTGCACACAAAATGAACGTTTTAACTCAGTTTTTCAAAACGTAAATAAAAAATTTGAAACGTAAATTGAATTGTTATTTTTTTAATATGAAACGTTTAAATTTAAAACAAAAAAAAATACTGTCCAATTTAAACGAATGCATTATTTGCGTTTTAAAATGCTGCCTTGAATCGTTCAATTTGTGCACACTATAACTCAAGATTATGGCCAAAAGGAAATTACTCAAGCTTATTTAATTTGCCCACAAATGCCAGAAAGGTTAGAAAAATTTTGAGGTCCAGGTAATATTTTGGCTAAAATCTTGATTTAACCCTTTTTGTAAATAGTAAATATCTACAGATCTATATCAGTACACCCTAATAAATAATAAATATATACTGATCTATAACAGTACGCCACTAATAAATAGATATATTGACTTTGTCAATTATTTGTCCTCTCAAAGTTTTGATCAAAAAATATAAAATATAATACTCAATGCCATACCCTTCCCCAATACATAAATAAAAACTTCAGTCTCCTAAAGAATCCGCTTGGGAACGAGGTCTTCGTCAAGCCAAGCAACTAATGAAACGTAATATTCCTCAAGTGACACTACCCTCATGCCCTTCGCCCAATCAGCTTGCCACACCTCGTGACTTTACTCCTCCCCCTTCAGCGGTATCTTCTGCACCTCTGAATAAATCGAATGGTGAACAGATTGTCCTGCCCAGGAATGACAATTTATCTGTGACTGTTACTCTAGAAGGAGTTGGGCCATCTCCCAGATTTGGTAGTCGGGGAATCAGGCATCCCCCACCTACTTACTATTCTCATCCTCCACCTAGAGCCCATCACCCCAGAGGATACCCACCGCCTCATAGCATGCCACACCCTCCAAGAATGAGGCCATACCTAGGTGGCCGCGGACCTCCTCCACACCCATATGGACCTCCCCCACCACACATGCATCCTCTTCATCACCCCCCTTTGCACCCTGCTGGACCTCCTAGAATAAGATCACATCCACCACCCATACATCATTACGAGTAAATCATATTTTTACTAATATCTAATTAACTATCATATCCAGCAATTATTATCCTTCTTTTTCTAAACTTATGTTTAGGAATATCTATATAAATATTAGAAGTCTTGTCAAAAATCTATAGCTTTAGAGCTCTAAATTTCAAAAAAATTTGTTTAACATATTTTTAGAGATGAATAAATTTGTAATTATTCTCTAAATGAAATATCTTGTTACATAGCTATTAATATGTATATAACGTGGATTGTGATAAATTCAGAATCAGGATGTCTAATAAACTATTATAATTTTCTAAACGATAATCAAATCGTTATAAGAAAATTTAAGAAAGAGAGAACCAAGCCATTATAAATACTTTTAAACCACTTCATTCATAGCGGTTTTTTCGAAATATCTTTATTACATTATCAGGGTTTATAAATTTTAAAAAGTATAAAATTTATAAAAGGAATTTAAAAAATCTATTCAGACTTCTAAATTTCTTCAAAAACAACTGGAGTGGAACCCGATATATTTACTGGTTCAAAACTTTATTAAGAATTAAACAAATTTATTATTTTTTTAAAACATAAGAAGTTATGGAGAGTCGATGGAACCATCTTACTATCCCCCAGATCTTCAGATGGTGGAGGAGCCCCCACATCCTGGATATCGATACCCGCCACCTCCAGCCTATCCACCTCCTTCTCGTTACAAGTATCCTACTTATCATGCACCACCTCAGGCAGGCGATTACTATGAGAGAATAGACGAGTATTATGAGGAAGCTAACGATGTTTACGAAAATACAGACGATTTCTATGATTATCCAAAAGCAGTCGATACACAAATGGAAGGTGTAGATCTTAGGGAAGCTCTAATGCGGAAGCACCAGATGAAAAGGGCTCAACCAGTTGAAGAATATGAAAGGGTTAGGATTACCCAGCCACCCCAGTATAGAGAGAGAATGTATCAAGTATACACATTTTCCATTACTTAATCTCTGTTAGCTTTGAAGATTACAATTATAAAATTTATATCATTTAAATTATCAGGGTTCTGAATCTCGCAGAGGTCTTCCATATCATTCAGCTGAACTGCCTTACACCAGACGAACAGATGATAGGGACATCAGTAAATATCGCCTTGTAAGAAGAAATACTGCGAAACCTGAAGTACCTCCATCAGACTACAATTGTGAAAAGCCAATTACATTGCATGAAAATAGAAAGGAAGAAAAAATCAGACGATTGGAACTGGCTGAGGTTGTTCCGGAAGTGATGGTATCTAGAATCGTAGCAGAAGAAGATTGGCATGACCCATGGCTGAGGCGTAGGAAAAAACACAGATCCCATTCCTCAACTCCTTCCTCTATATGTTCCAAGTCTCCAGCACCCTCTAAGGCCATCAACCCTTCTGTTATTGTCATGGATAAACGCTCCAGGGGAGAGGCATATGAACCCCATCATCATGCTTATCCTTCCTCAGCTGTTCGAGGGCGGCGTGAACATTATTACAGCAGGCGCCCACTACCCACTTCCAACCGTTTAGCGTCGGCAGTAGATGAAAACTATTATGAACGCAAGTTTCGACGCACTCGGAAGTTGATGTCATCTACTTCACCTCGTCCTGTTCTTCGAGTAACAGAAGATAATTTTATAAAACCAGAAATGGGAATGAAAGCCAGAGACGATGATGTGATGCCCATCGATGATCTAAAAATTCCAAGTGACGAAAAAAAAGGCGAAAAAAGAAAGAAAAAGATAGCTAAGGGTAAATCGTCTGTCTCTCGTTCGAGCACGGGATCAGAAGGGTCGTCATCTTCTTCCTCTGGCTCTTCCTCCTCATCATCAGGCTCGTCAGGTTCTTGTTCATCTGCTTCACGCATCTCGGCCAACAAATTGTCTAAGATTAATGAGTAAATATTTAATTTATTCCATAATTATTAACCTCAATAGAGTGACCATATATTTTCTATATAATAAAGAATTAACCTTGTTATAATATTTTGAGTAATGGCTAAAAATAGTATTCATACATCCACAGAAAATCCGGTAAAAATTGAAGCAGCTTTATACATTTATTTTTTCAAAAAAAAGACCATGAGACTGAGGTTCATTTTTTTCCAACTAAAAAGAGCAATTACCCACCCAGCTATAGTTTTTAATCTTGTAATAAAAGTTTGATTTACTATAATTTACTTAATTCAATAGTCTTAAAAACTTTTAACATTTATATTGCCTGCAGATCCAACAAAAAGATTTTAACGGAACCTGAACAGATTACTATATTTGAGCCTGAAAAGAAAGATTCAAGATCATCTACTCCGTCCTCTTCTTCTACTTATCGCCACTACAAAAGAAGTTATTTTATACATATAATTGAAAATTCTAATTTTGAATTTCATTTAAATATAATCTAAGATACAGCGATGGGAACTATATTCTAGTTACTTTGGTTGCAGTAAAGGTGCAGTATTTCAGGGGTTATAGTTCTGGTGCTATAAATTTTAAAAATTTTGGTTCAGTTAAAGTTTTTAAAATGTATAGTGAAATACATGAATTTGATATACTTGAAGAATCAAAATATGAGTATATCTTATTATTTATTTTAATGGATATTAATGTGTATTGCTGGCTCAAAACCACTGTTACAAATGTTCAATTTAGAATATGATGTCATGCAATTCTTTTTAAAATGCTATTTAGTCATACTTATCATATATTATAAATTTAAATAGTTTTGCACATATTAAATTTTTTTAACATTATGTCAATTTCATTTCCAAACATTCATTCGTGCAATACATTTTGATGGCCACATATGAATTAAAACTTTGTATATATTTCATAACTTTGAATTAACAACGTTCTCTGATAATAATATAATCAGTTATGTGTGGGTTGGAGATGCTCTCTTAAACTAATTTTGAATATGGAAAATATAAAAAGCATCATAATAATTTTGCCAAAATTGGAAATTGGCTTTGATGAGCCGCCCACCACTCTAATAAATTATCCACCTTAAATGTTTCATCTATTTTTACATTTAGCTAATTATTAAATTCATCATAGAATATTGACATATCAAAATTACATCGCCCCATTTGTCTTAAAACGATTAAGTTTGTTTAACAGCAGTCGTAATTCGACTGGTCGATAGTAGTTCATTAATTTCCCGAGAGTCTTGTAATTATATATTGTCTTTTATGTAGTTTTCCGCCATCTTGCGATCTGTCCCTGACAACACACGTAATTGCCTGAAATTGGGACAGAAAAATAGAAATAAATTGATACTTATGTAAAACAAATTTTTCATTTAATAAATGCTTTATATTAAAATCAATTTTATCTCTCCTTTTTCGCTTTGAAAGGTATTACAAACTTCAAGAAGTTCATAATACCAAATTACCACTTTAAAAAGAGTACAAGAGTCCAACTGTAACTCAACAATAGCTCTATTAAATTCTCAAGAATTTTGACTAGATCATGAAGGATCGGAAAGTCTATATTATAATACTTTTCTGATCCCCCATGTTCTTGAAGAACTTTTATAATTTCTTCATTTTGAGAATAAACAGAATTGAGCATATTGTATTTAGAGTTCCAGCGGACTTCTATATCTTGGTAAAGGGCTTTTAAATGCTGGCATTTATTACTTTTTTAAAATGCCCCACTAATATTTTAGTATTATCTATTGTTGAACTAATGGGACATTACTTTTCAAATATTTAATGTTAAATGAATTTTTTAAAATTGTGTTTAATAAATGACAACAACAATTTAATCGTTCATTTAACTCCAATTCTTTTATAATATTTTTACCCTGGTCTCATTAATTTCCAGTCATCTGATATATAGTGCATGTTAACCGTTATTAACAAGTTCTTTTTATGGTCATCGCACAATATATCAGTGAAAGCAGCTATAAATCGATCTTGATTACTGGGGCAATAATGTCAACCAAAATTTTTCTTATTTTATTACATTTTTCTTTAAGGTGATACAGTGGTAGGATATGAAATCAATATATATGAAGATCAATATATTCTTTCTGCAATGTAAAGGATAAACTACTAAAGAATTTACAGAATTTTAATATTGACACAAACGATTTTATAAATATAATATTTGTTACAGACCAAGGAAAAATATGATAAAAGCATTGGAATTAAATGAAAGATTAAATTGTTGTCATTTATTAAACACAGTTTTAAGAAATTCATTTAACAATAAATATTTGGGTAATAATGCTCCATTAGTAAATTCAACAATCGATACAAAATATTAGTGGGGCATTTAAAACAAAGTATTAATGCTAGCATTTAAAATCTCTTTATCATGAAGTAGAAGTCCGCTGGAACTCTAAATATAATATACTCAATAGTGTTTATTCACAAAATGAAGAAATTATAAAAGTTCTTCAAGAACATGGGGAAAAGTTATATATTATTGACTTTCCGATTCTTGAGGATCTTGTCAATATTCTTGGAAATTTCCACAGAGCTATTATTTAATTACAGTCGGACTCTTGCACTCTTTTTAAAGTGGTAATTTGGTGTTTTGAACTTCTTGAAGTTTGTAATACCTTTCAAAGCGATAAAAGAGAGATAAAATTGATTCTTACTTAATATAAAGCATTTTTTAATTGAAAAATTTGTTTAGCATAAGTATCATTTCCTCTGTCCCAAATTCAGGCAATAACGATTAGGTGAATTTTTGAATGCACCAGGTCGGATATAATTTTTAAAAATCCAAGCTGGGCCGGACCGTGCAAATGATACCTTTGCAGGTCTCTGATATATATATATTCATATCTTAAAAAAATTAAATGTATTTAACTTTTATAGGATGTTACTGTAAAATATTGATCATATTTGGGTCATAGTAATGTTAATTTATCTGATTTTGAATTATCAGAAATATAAACAATATTATTATTACTAATAAACTATAGTAATGACGTGTTAAAAAATTGAAATGTGAAAAAGGAAAAACAGCTGATTAAAAAATATGACTTTTTTCTTAAAAAATTCGGATTAATGTTAAATTCGAACGTGTTCGTCAAAAAAGTAACACGTTCAAAGTTCGTCAAAAACGAAAGGAACGAAAATTAACTCGTTTATATACAACACTACAGATACAACATTTTTAAATCTAGATAGGGAGTCTGCACTAGACGGGTTTTTAGCCAAAAGGTCAGCCCACTCGTTGTTTTGAAATTTTTACCCCCCCCTTCTCCGCCCTGCTTATAATTTTTAAGAAATCATTTTGAGGCTGGTTTGGTTCTTTATTCTTGTATTTCTAATTATAATATGCAATTTATGAAATGAAACTATTATTTTTAATAAATTGAAGTTTTTTCTGCTCATTTCTCCTAATATCAAAAATTCACCACCCATGCCCGCTTATTACTTAAAATTGTTTTAACCAGCCCGCTACCCACCCAATGTTGAAAATATTTTAGAAAACCCGACCACGCCCGTCCGAAGTATGGGCGGGCTAAAAACTGCTTAATGCAGACCTCTAATCAAGATACTTTAACAACTTTGCTAAATAATATTATTTCCATTTTAACATAGTTAACAAAGAATCCAAATTTCAAAATTCGAAGGAAAATAAGCAAGGGATTATTCATGACATGCATTCACTCAAGTAAATATTTTTTTTCAAAACACTATTATCATTAATTAGCCTGAATAAATATTTCATTTTCCATATTTTTATTTGTAATTTATTCCGGAATTGACCTTGGCTTTAAGAAAAGTCAAACTGGTCAAAACAAGGGGTTTTATAGGGCTATATGTAAGAGATCACTTATAAAGTTAGAATTAATCTTTTCATATTGTATAGAATGTTATTTATAATAATTCATTCTATTTGATCAAATTTTACCTAGAAATGCCAAATTTTTTTTTAAAAAAAAAGTATTTTGTAATATAACTTTCATATTTTTTTTTATATGCATAAAAAATCTTTCAAGATAAAATCAAAAAGACAAATTTTGGTTAAATGTTGTAGCTTATTTAATCGTGTATAAATATTAGAATTGCATTCCACCTTTTTAGGTCGACTAAAATTCTTCTCTTTATATAGAGTTTATTATATAGCAAAATTGTGGCCACCCTTATAAAAATTATTATATTTATCTTTATTTTCTTGTTTACAGAAATACTCAAGATTTTCTTCCTGAACAACCACTCAAACAACGTTCCAACAGTTTTTCTAGGTTCTTAAGTGATTATATTTTTAAAATTATTGCCTTCAATTCCATACATTTAAGATTCAGGCCTTAAAACTCGAAAGTTTTACCTATAATTCTTGAGATACAATTAATTTTAGATTATTTCTATTTTAAATGAGTGCATGAATACAAGTAGACTAGTTTAAACTTAGAAAGGCCATTATTTATAGAAAATTAAAATCATTTACATATAGATTAAAATTGTTCTTTATTAAAAAAATATTTTTAAGTATTTCTTCCTTTGAGAGCTACGAAAAGATTGAAAAAAATTCCATAAAAGGTATTAAAATTGTTTATTAAATCTTAATACATTATATTCCTGTAAAATCAATTTTACATATTATTTATGATTGAGAAATTAATCAAATGCTTCTTAATGAATAATGATATATTTTGTAATGAAATATTTCTTATTTAAAAAAAACTAATTGAAATAATACACTGTCTGCTTCCATTTTTTTCTTTAAGTAGCTAGCCAATGAATCAAATCAAGATTTTGAAACGATTATTTTACCATTCTTATCAGAATATTATGCTATTTTAAATAAATACGTCATGAAAATTTTTCTTGCTCATACATTTTCGCAAAATATAAGCTTTATTTTAGGAATTTTTTGCATTAATTAGAAGTCAATATTATTCAGACCTAATATTCTTGTTTAATTTTAAATAATTAGTATAAATTTATGATTATAGATAATTTATAAATAAATAGTGGAAAAGAAAGAAAATGTATATGTTGAAAAATTACTCAGACCAGTCAAAATAGAGTCTACATCTCACCCAAAAACATCGATGCCCACTCAACAAATCAAAATGAAACTTGTCAGCAAGTCCAAGGTTTATTTATTTAATTTTTAATTGATGGTTATAAATCACGATAATTATAAAAAAAATATTCATAGTTCATGAAGATAATATCATAAAAAAGAGTATATACAGTTAGCTCGTTTTTCATGTTAGAATTCCTATCTAGGGCTTACTTATAAATTTAAAGTTTTAGCATTCTAATTTTGGATTTGAATAATGGGGTCAAAATATGTAATTTATTAATTGATAAAATATATTAATTTTTTTAAATTTCGAAAGGATATCAAAGGGCTATCCGACAAGCATTTGGTTCACAGGGCTAATAGGGAAGTCTTTTCTCCCCTTTCCTCCTCATCATCCAATGATGATCATGATAGTTACAAACACGTAATCAATAATATCTTACATTCAAATGCCATGCACTTAGATTGTATTTCTATCTCTTTTTTTATCAGAGATTTATGTGACATTTTATCTTTCGTGAGTGGAGTTATATGGCAATAACGTAGGATATAAATTGATAATTTCTAGGCAAGATAATAATTTTTTAAAATGTATTTACCCAAAACTGTATAGATAGTGTAAATATTTTATATATTAGTAAATTTTATTTGTTTTAATGAATAACTGAATTCAGAAAAATAACGATAGTCAGACCAAGAAATTTATAACTGAGCAACCGGTTACTACCAATAAGCTAAAGCTTCAACAACATAAACATTTGCCACCATCTAAGCAAAAGGAGTATATAACTTACGATAAAATGAGCACTGTATACCCTACGCTTTCCAACACCTCTAAGGGTAGCTCTAGTACATCATCTCAACAGCTACAAGCCGTGAATAGAAGGGAAGAATTATTGAAGCAGCTTAAGGCTGTCGAAGAGGCGATCGCCAGAAAAAGAACCAAATAGCACTTATTATTTTGCGTGTATTTATTATAAATTTATTCATTCTGTTTCTCAATTTTGTTGTTTATACTTAAACATGTAGACCTTCCCTCTCCTGCAAAAAATTATTTTTTATAATAAAATCTATTTTTTTATATATTATATTTTTTTAGAATTTTTTTAAAACCCTTTTTGCTCTTAAATCGAATCTATTTAAAAAATGTGACAATAATTAGCATTTCAAAATATGTATAATAAAAAAATTAGCTAATATTTTTTTTACAATATTATAATAAAATTCTTTGCATAAAAGGCGAATCATTTTATATTTTGATATTATATAGAATTTGTATTATCTGAATTTGTTCATTGTTCAATCATATCCCATTAATTATTTAATTTAATAACTTATTAAATTATATAAAGAAATTATATGTCGCATATTTTATAATAATAAACTAGGTTAGCTTTACTGCCTGTGTTTACTTCTGCCCTACCTTTTATGAATTTCTTTTTTTAAAAAAATCTTTTCGATAATAAATTTTTCTTGCGGAACGAATTAAGAAATGTAATAAATTTTTTATATAAGCCCTAAGAAAATGAAATTGGATAAAAATTAACAAAAAAAAGTAAATAGAAATTAGCAAAAAGGAGATATTCCAAATCAAATTAAGGAAATTAAAAAAGAATCAAGCCAAAATTATTGATTTATAGTCTAATTTTGGCGGAGCAATATTTGTAGGGGGCTAACTTTGATTTGATATCAGCCCTAAACATTTTTTCATTTTATATTTGAAAAAATCAACATGAAAACTCTCATTTGGTTTAGTTTTCTTTGGGCATGTATTGGCATACAATTCATTCTCTGAACCCCCGCATACAACATCGTTAAAGGTACTTTTGATTTAGATAACACCTTGTAAACCACAATTGTTAACTTTTTTCGGTTCTTAAAATTTTCTATCCTTTCCACCAGTATTTTTTTCTCTTGCTTTTAGCTGACCGAATACCCATTCCCTCATCTCTGACCACTCTCCTAAGGGTAAGAATTAAAGCTTAATTATTTTCTTTATATTTCCTTCCTCCAGTTCTTCACCATCTCCCAAATGTGACAACATGTCCAGCGAATAAATTTTTTAGACAAAATTAATCATAAACTTTTACCTCTTTTATAACATAAATTTTTTTTCAAATTTGATCTAAATGAACTAATTTTTAAAAGCAATAACCTTTATAATATTTCGCTCTTGAACTGTAACCTTTAAACTTTACCATTATTTATATATAGTCGGGTCAATATTTTAATGTTTGATATCCATCCCAATTGTTCAGAATTCTTTTTAAAAAATTTACAAGGTCTATTTTTAATAAATAAACGTTAAATTTTTTTTATCTGATGAATAACATAGCTTACCCTAAATTAGTATTATCAGAAAACCTTTTTTATAATTTTGAAAAATGAATAACAAAAAAATGAATTTTATATCCAAAAGTACAAGTAACTTTTTATTCCAAGATAAAAAAATATTTAAAAGTATAGCTGCATTTTAGAAATCACATTAAATATTTGTTATTCGATTGGTTGGTTTGAATAGGGAACATTATAATAAAGCAATATTATGCAAATTAACAGAATCTGTAACTAATATTGTTAATAAAAAAATTACACAATTGTGAATATGGATTAATATAACACATTATTGTAAATAAGTTTCTGTCAAAAAGTGCATGTAAAACATAAATGTTGACACGACTACATGTCATTTGAATATAAAATCAATCTAGTCGAAATCTTCATCTTAAAAAATTTATTGAATTTTAAATTTGAATAATCTGATTTGCCCATATAGATATTCCAGTATATGTATAGTAATTTCAACAATTTTGCTGTAAACTATTGAACAACTTTAATTTTTAAAATTTCTTCTAAATTAAAAAAATACACAAAAGGTCATGGGATGATTGTTTATAGGTTAGATATTATGTGCTTGCTAGAATACAACTACAGTTAAATCAGATTCTTAAAATTTATATATAGCCCCTCAATATTATTTTATAATTTTTGCTCAAATACTAGAAGTTTTTTATCAACAAAATTATTATTTTTTTTTTATAAAACTGTTTACATTTTTTTTTTTGCACTGTATAAATTTTGGCCAAATAAGAAAAAAATACTATATATTTGGTAAAATTAGAAGAAATATGACCAAAATGTAGCTCCGTGAAGTGGCCGAACATTTGAAAGCACTAACAATGAAACTTATATCATTCTTTAGTGCTTCGTTAGTATGACTAATTATAATACACACCAAGCCGTCACAATTTTCAATGATTTTCATAAATTACCAAGCACATCAGAAACGTCATATATTTATTTTTTTAATTGATGTTTTTGTATATCGTCCCTGTGTGTGATGATGAAAATGAAACCGATAGATCTGGATTCGATTCCAACAAAGTTCATGATTTTTTCTGTCAACTTGATGGTTTAGATCAGACTCATCCACGTGATTCCGTTAATATATTTTAGAAAATAAGTAAGTCTTATTATATTTTGACACATTATCTTTTTCTAGAGGTAATTTGTATCTTTTTTGAGCAATGGTAATGCAAAACGTTACTTTTTATTTCACATTTTTCTTAAAAAATATGGAAAAAACATATTTTATTGCATTATAAAACTACTTTTATTTATTATAAAATTTTATTAATAATTTAAGTAGAGTTTTTAATTCACTCCATCCACCAAATTTCTTCATTATTATTTTATATTTTCGTTGTTAAATTTTCAAGCAATGTATGTAAATTTATATTCTTGCTAATATTATAATTTATTAAATAAAATATTGTACATTTTCTTCAGATGAAGAAGCTTGCCTTGACTCCAATATGAAACGTTTTTTACCAATAAAAAAAACTAAGGGTACAAGTCTCAACTTAAATATTTTAACCTGAATTGTAGAATAAACTTGGGCATCCTCCAAACTGTGCAACCATTTTTAAGGAAAAAATGGCATATGTGATTAAACTGGTTATAACAAGATGGAACATCTATAACTCCGTGGAATTAATATATTTTTAATAAAGAGAATGGTCACAAATTTAACGAATCTTGTGATAAATCCAAATTACAAAGATTTTAAGATAATGAAGAGAAGTGACTGCTATAAAATAAAAGCTTGAAGGCTCATTTAAATTCAATAACAATATGGCATGATAAAAATCTTAATATAAATAAGGATACTGAGTTAACAATAATACTAGTAAGCCAGCAAATTAACCGTAATCTTTTAAATCAATATTTGATTTGATGCTACTTCTTAGCATACAGGAGCTACCTTTTAGTGGGTAGGTTAGAAAAAAATACGGATCTTGCAAAAGATGAAAACATAATTTAAATAATGAAATGAATATCCAAAATGCACAATATACATCATCCTAAATTCAAAATAAAATCCTGCCCCTCCCCCAAACATGTTCCCAGAAAAAATCTTTGGCCCCCAAAATGGCCCTCATATATTCCCCCCCCCCTCAAATTTAAAAATATTTTTGCAATTGATTTCAAAAAATATGTCTTGTTTTTAAATTTCTTCCTATCCTGTTTTATTGATTCCAATAATAAATCATCATTCATTCGTATTTTATTTTTCACGTGTGTTTGTGTATAACATTATATAGGATCTTAATTATAACGTTTAAGTTGTAGTTATTTGTATTTCAATTATAATTATTTTATTTATTATGGTTCAATCACAAAATTATTATCTTTTGAAGGTCTCTGATATAGATCTGGGTGCAAATCATGAAAAACCGATTGATATATATATAAAAATTATTCCTAACCCCCCCCCCCCCAAGACCTCGAACCCCCATTTAGAGTGATAATTATTTACGATCAAAATCTAAAGAAACAGATTGATACCGATTCGTAAATATTTATTAAAATAAAAACGGTTCTTATTAAATTTTTATAAAATTTGGTAATTATATTGTGCAGTGTTGCTAAATAACTCGATTTGGGCCGATTTTAAAAAATGGTTCGATTAAGATCTTAGACAAAATAATATAATATAAGCCCGATATAATTAGTTATTTGAAACAGCGGTGAATATTTTAGCATTATAAAGAAAATAGTGAGATAACAACAAATTAACCGTAAATCTTTACGATCTTAAATTAAGATTTCATGATATTTCTCAACATACAGGAGCTACCATTCCGTGGGACTGGTTCAACAAAAATTACGGATCCTGCAAATGTAGAAAACATAATTTATTCATTCTGGATTAATTATAGCAATGTTTCATACAACATCCAAAAAGATCCTGTTAAATAAAAATACGAAATTTATATAAAAAATACGTGATATACATCACCCAGATTCAAAAAGAAGTAATATCTATAATGGTAGATATGGCGCTTGATTATATTTCAGATATATATTAAAAGTGAGATGCCTTAATTTTTGTCTTTAAGCTGATGTGACAAAAGATGTATCAGGTTGTGAAAACCTGAGAATAATTATTAATATCTTTTCTGGAGAAGTCCAAGAAAATTAAATAGGGATTATTAATTTACAGTGTCTTTCTGCTGAAAGCATAACTAATTGCATTTTAAAGCAACTTAATGAGTTAAATATTAATTCAACGAATATGATAAACCAGGCATATGATGATGCAAACGTTATGTATGGCCTAAATGGTGGAGTGCAAACCCTTACTTCAAAAAAGAATTAATAAAAAGTTCCTTTTATAAATTGCTACAACCACATGTTGCATCTTGTGGTTCAAAATTGTTATAATAATATTGTTATCATTTCTAATTTTTTTAAATATATTCAATGCATTGCATAATTTTTTAGGCGGTTTAACGTATCCTGTAAATATGCAGGCCATACTCTTAAACTTTTAGACCAAAGGTGGACTTGTCATTTAGAAACATCTCGCATCATTTATGTTAATTTTGAGGCTATTGGTGAAGTATTAGTTTACTTTTCTAATTGAACTCTTAATTCAGAGGTTTTCACTCATGATTCTGTCGAAGCCTCTGGTTATTTACCCCAATACGTTAATAAAAATTACGTTATATTAGCAATTATAATTTATGAGATATTAATAACAATAGATCCACTATATAAGTATCTACAGTCAGTAGGTACTTATCAAGTGGATGCTAAAAATTGTATTGATTCCACTATCAATATATATAAAAAATATAAGAAGCAATAATTCTATTGATTTGATTAGAATCAAATCTGAAAAACTTTTAGCAAAATTTAATCTCACTCCCCACAAATCATCAAGAATACGTAAAACGCCTATAAATTTTCAATTTTTTAGTCGAGATCAAATTATAATTTGATTATGAAAAAGACTCCAATTGGAGTTCTTTAAAAAGGAATATTGATTACTTTGTTGATAATTTATTAGATAAATTTACACAAGATGATTATATTCTTCTAACAAGTTTTAATGCATTCTCCCCTTTTGATAGTGATTATTTTATATTAGACAAAATGACCCGATTAGGATAATTATTAAACTTAAATATTGAAATTTACATCATAAAATGAAAATAGCTAAAGGATAATTAGCTGCATAAGTTAAAGAAACACATAATTGAAATAACTTAAATATTATGTATAAAAAAATATAATCATGCATTTAAAGAATTGTATAAATGCTACACAGCAGCCATCATCAACCAACGGCTTGGGTGGCTTCTCTCTTTATAATAAAGAGAGTTCTATCGAGCACTAGAGGATCGATGAAAGATAAAATGTAAGCAAAATTTAGTATTGATCAATGACATATAATAATACCTAGACTGACAATTCATCCATTAAAAGTGTACATCAATACAAATCAGCTAGAGACGCCATCTTGGTTACTGTAATAAATATTAAAATTTTAAACGAGAGCCTAATTTTATATTATATCTGATGCAAACTTTATTAAAGAATTGCCTGATCATCGAGATAATAAGAAAGTAAGTTATCAATTTAATATTAGTTTTTAACATGAAAATAATTATTATAAAGGTTACCAAAATGGCGGGTCCAGCTGATTTGCTTTTAACGACGCTTAAAAATGCATTTTAATGAATGAATCGTCAGTCTAGGTATTATTATATGTCATTGGTATTGATGGCTTATGAAAAAAAAATTAAGACAAAATTTATCCTTTAATTCTTTTATGTTATAATTTAAAAATAAAAAATCGTCGTATTATATTATTTTGTATGTTCATATTATAGTACTATTTTGTATTCATATAACATTAATAATTTTTTAATAAAAATAGCAAAAAATTTCTATGAATGCTTAAATATTTGTTTTATTTAAAAAAAAATAGTGGCCCCCCTAAGTAAGCAGCTGACCTCCCTAACTGAAATTCCTGTCTACGGCACTGAATCTATGGCAGATATAAATATATCTCAGAAAAACATAACAAAAAGTAAGATGCCTTTTTTTATCTTAAGGCTGTTGTAACATCTTATATTAAAGAGAAAATTGGAGTAGTTGTAGAATAATGTATTTAACACATTCTACAATTGTCATCAAGTCAGCTTTATTAAATCATGTTTAAAAATATATATCCCTTTTTTGTCAACAATTTAAATATGTAATAAATCAATAAGTAAAAAATTATCAATCATTTTAAGTTACGCAATAAAATAAAATGTTGAATTTAAAAAATGTAATTTAAAAGAGGATATAAATTGAATTCAAGTTAAGCATAAACTAAATATAAATACAAATCGTATCAATGATATTTTTGTTATTGCCGTAAGACATTAAAACTTTAAAATTAAACTAAATATCATTAAAATAAAAGTTAAAATAAAAATATATAACAAGACATACGATATATCAGGTTAAACTTGAGCATAATTATTCATTTTATTTTTTGTGGTAAAATTTAAGAAAATTAATCATTAATTTACAATGTCTTTCTACTGAAAGCATTATTAATTGTATTTTAAAACAATAATGAAGTAAATATTAACACATCGAATGTAATGAGCCAGGAAAATGATGGTGCGAACATCATGTCTGGCCGAAGTGGAGGAGTGGGAGGAATACAACTGTTTCAAATAAAAATTAATAAAAAGTAACTTAATAATATTTTATTTTTCAATTTATCTAATGCATATTTATTATATACATTTTTTAGGCATTTTAACGTTACTTGCAAAAAAGTAGACCATACACTTAAGAGAGTTTTAGGAGGGGAACTGGCCATTTAGAAATATCTCATATTATTTAGAAGATTCGCGCTAAGTCTTTACCTCACATGTAAAACTCATTATTATAGCTAACTGATGGAAGAGTTTTACTTGAGTGTGCCGCAGTTTTATTATAATTTAAGTTTATTTCATTAATAACTTTTTCATTTTAATTTCGATTGTTAAACTGATTTAAGCATAAACCTCTACCGAAGCAATAAAGAATGATATGTGATTCATTATTAGTGTTTCCAAAATGTTGCTGGCCTAAATTAGACTCAATAACATTTATTTAGCGTATAATTTCCATAAAACAGTTAACCGAATTTAATACCGAAATTCAAATATATTAATCAAGTACTAAATATTAATGAAACCATGTGGCTGCTTTAGGGTTTATTTTGGCATGCGACCATTTTTTTGTTTATTTTGTTAATACTATTTTATTTTAATTTTGATATTAAACTGATTAACGTCCTAACCTAAACTAACGAATTATTAAAAAATAATATAAATTACATCATTAGTGTTTCCATAATTTTGCAAGCCAAAATTTGATTTTAAAATATTTTTTAGCGAGAAACTATTTTTCCATATGCCGTGACCAAATTAATTAGGGAATTTGAATTTATTAATAAAGCACTAAATAATTGCGAAAACTGGATGTTTAATAATAGTATAGTTTTGAAAAATTTGTAGCAGCTTATTATGATTTTTTTAATATAAAAATGCTAATTCGCTTGTAGAATCATAATTAATATGCCGATTATTTTATTAGCAATTACCGCTTTCAACTCTCTATATCTATAAAATTTAATTTGTTAATTATAATAAAAGTATTAAATAAATTTTTACAGCAATATATTTTGCCCTAATTTTAAAAAATTAATTGATAGCCATAAAATAAATTTAAAAATTTATATGCCCCCTGTCTACTCTCTCTTTTGATGCCCCCCCCCCTCGTGTAGAGTTAAACGCTGGAGTCAAGCAGCTAATTTAAAATTCATAAACACCATGACAGAATTATGATATGGTTCATTATAAATATGGGATAAGTTTCATATAAATATTAAATTAAATGGGTGCATTTTAGGTATATACTAAATAAAATTTGGATCAATAACTTTCAAATTAAATATTATCAGAAACTGTGAATATCTTCAAAATACGAATAAGGCATGTGTGATAAAGGATAGATAGTATATTATTTTCGCGGATAGCAGTATTTATGATTAAAAAGCTTCATATACGCTATAAGTATTTTTGATGCTTATTAAGTTGAATTTTTAATATAATTTATATTATTTAAAAAACATATGATGATAATTGTTATAAAAAGCATTCATACACGAGTTTAAATTTTTTTTTTAGGTTTGCTATGAATAATTTCGATTCCAGAGTAAATTTTAAGCATATACCTAAAAAATTATATATATTTTAATAAATCAGGTAATTTTGAATGAGTACAAAGAAGAATTGTTTAAGCTACAGAGTAATATAATTCTTTTGGATTTTTTACTGGAATTTTTTAATCACCCTAAAAAGTATCAAGTTATATTTAGTTTCCTTAAATTTATAATATGTTTTTGCACAGTCAATCATATCAAAAGTGTATGAAAAGAGTATAAAATATGATATTGATAAATTTGAGCTATTATTTTTGTCCTCAATTACCACTGAATTATTTGAAAATACTAATGTTAATAGTGATAACTCATCAGAACTACTAAATAATATGATGAAGTTAAATAATAAGGTATATTTATATTTTCTCAAATAATGTTTATAAAAAGAGTTGGGCAAACTTTGAAAAAAATAAGATATTAAATCGAATTCTTTTTTGGAAAAAAAGAAATAGTATAATAGATACAGATTCAAATCCTTTAAAAGATTCAAATAGTACTTTTAATTTCTGAATACTAATGGCATCTTGGATACAAGATACACTAAATGACCACATTTATTAAAATAAAATTAAATAAAAAATTATTTTATAATTTTAATAGATTTATTTATTAAAATTTCCTTCTTAAATATGATGTAAATTTATCATGAATCATTTTAATATATATATTTGTAACATGATTTTATATAAATAGCAACATTATAACTACCTACCCACCCATGTCCCCCTTTCATGGTTGAAGTCTCTTAAATTGAGTGAATATTTTATTAAAACTTGCAACTTAATAAATTTATGTATAAGATATATATACTATTTAATCTCCTTATGCTAATTATTAATTAATGAGATTTCTTCTTTGTCCTGATTTAATTTTATTTTAATTGTTCAAAACATAATTAGGGTTGTTAAAAAGGCCGAATCGAGGTCAATTTTTAAAAAATGAACCTATTAAGATTTTTGCCAAAATATTATGTAAGCCTCGAGTTTTGGGACAAATAGAGGTCCAAACCTTCATCTATGAGAAAATTATCCAGGCTTATATAAGATTATTTTGGCTAATATCTTAATTGGTTCGTTTTTAAAAAATCGGCCTTTTTAACAACCCTAAATATAATTCATCAATTTTTATCATTTTTTTATATATAAGATTTTTATTAAAAGAGTAAATTTAAATTTGCGATTTAAAATAATTACTCACTTTTTTTTCTTCATATTGTGTAATTTTTTTTAAATTCATAGCTTAATTTAGACTAGTTATTTTTATTTGGGCCAATATATTTTGGAGGGTTGTTTTTTTCCGAGACCATGTTTGGGGGAGGGTTGGAGTGCGAAAAATATTTGGGAATTGGGACAGTATGGAACTAACAGAAATATATCAGCCAAAACTCTGATACCAAGTATCGGTGCCGGTGCATCTCTAATTAAATTGATTTTTATATTTGTTGAATAATGAGGCAGGAATAAATTCGAAATGTGTTATATCATCTTTAATTTCAGGTGAGTTGTATAAAGTATATTTATTATGAAAAAAGGAGGAAATAAATGCATGAATCCAAATTAGTATCTTATTTATCATAGAACTTAAACAGATACAAGATACTTTTGAATTTATTAGATAGATTTACGTATTTTTTAAAAACATTTATAAAAAAAAAGCAAATATAAAAATATCATGTATCTTATATAGTCGCAATATAGTCCAACTCTGCTTATTTTTAATATAAACCTTATATTATAATTGAAATTTGTATTTATAGGATATGTCAAATCAAAATGAGATGATACCATCCATAAAGTTAATCGAATATATAAACAAAGTATTTTTGTATGATTATATAAACTCATGGTGCGATGAAATAGTCTCAAATTCAAAGTATATTCCTTCTATAATTAACACATCGTATTCTTCATCTAAAAATTTCGATAACGAAAACGATTCTGATGCATTTGAAACGTCGATGGATAATTTTAGCTTTTTAAATATTAGTTCTAACCACAACAATGAAAAAATTATTTATCAAAGTACTTAATAGGATACTATGTTTCATGAATGTTTATATGGAAAGCTTTAAATTTTTTTTTGATATTATAAATGATTTTAAAGGTTACTTGGCAAAAAAAGACCCAGTGATGTCGCTAGTATCCATTAGATATTTCTAAAGGCTTGCAAAGTGAGTTTAACTCATGCGCCCGCCCGCCAATCGTTTTTTTTTAAATTAACCTGCCTCCTCCCTTTCTCATGGTATTCTTTAAAATTCGCCCACCCATTTATCTAAAAATTTTGTTTAACCCGCTCACCCGATGTTTAAAAATTATTTTATTGGTTTGTTTAGGTCTTTATTGATTTTATATTATTCTTATATGCAGTTCATTTCACTAGAAAAATATATTTTCACCCACCCATTGTTTTGAAATTACTTTTGACCCTTCCCAATATTTAATTTTTTAACTCGCCCGCCCTTATCGTGGGTAAACGTCGGGCTAATCATCCGTTGCAGACCTCGGTAGACCTACCAAAATTGAGAGTAAGGGACAGTTTGGCTTTTATTTTAATTTTCCAAATGTTTGATTGCTATATTCTCCAAAAATATTAATTTTTTACATCTTAGGACTGTGCCTATCCACATATTTTTTATCATTAAGAGTAATTTTTATTTGCCAGATATTTTTAAACAAATGTCATAATTTTATTTTTTTGAAAAAAAAACTAACTTTCACGAAGGATTAAATGTATTTTGTTCTTTTTATTCCCTAATAGTGAATTATCTAATTTAAAATATAGGTAATTTAGTGTCATTAAACGGCTCGTTTTTTTAAAAAACGCTTAACCCAATATTTTAGTCAAAAATTTGAAGCAGGGAGATTTTTTTTCATAGTTGGCAGAAAGGTTTGGACATCTATTAACAAAATCTCGAAGTCTGCGCAATATTTGAGCCGTTTAACAGCTGATTGCCACTCCTTAAATATTTTTTAATACTTTTCTCGTTGCAGATAATATCATGGGACTTTTGCGGCCCTGATTATTTTATTATTTTTGGTTATTTACATATCAAGAAGATAAGACAAGTTTGAAACCTGATTCTCGTAAAACGCAAAGTTCACTGTTCGATACAACCGAATTCCAGATCGCCGAGAGAAAAATTTACGATCTTAAAGAGTTTATAAACCAAAATGCCAAACAACAGGCAATAATTCGACAAAATAATTTGGAATCACTAAATGATGATACCGATCTAAATGAGGACGATGTCAAAGCAGACGATGATTACGATATTCAAAAAAATCGTTTGGGCTCATTTTACAAACTTTGTCTGGTAACATTATATTTTTTTAAAAAAAATTAAATCTGATTGACAGAATAATATACTTAATATTACCAAAGAATGCTATTTCAATCTTTGGCTCCTTTTTTTTTTAATTTCAAGCTTATATTTTGATTAATATTACTAGAAAATAAAATACAATGTATCCAAGTCCTGGTTCGACTTATTACTAAATATCTTAAAAAAACAAAATGAAAATATAGCAAAAAAATGAAAATAATAATGCCATCAAATATTTAAAACATCCCAAAATAGGGTGTCCTAGTTTAAAAGCTGTTTACTATAAAACAGTTTATTAAATATCAAAATTAAGTTGTACCAGGATACGGCCTATATTACCTATTTCTATATATTTTAAGAGTTGCCTAACTATTATATTAAGACTATAAGTATATAAAATCATAAAAAAAATTAAGCAAGTTATTTATGATAATAATGATCCGATGCAATACAAATATCAAAGACAATTGATTTAAAACAGTTATATTATAGAAATAGATGGCAATCGATTAGAAATAAAGAGCATCAATTGACATTGGGAAAAAAAATTAGACTTAAAAAAATTTAATAGCTCGGGCTTGATTTTTAGTAAAATTTGAATGGGTCGGGCCCGAAAATTAGTAAAGAAAAAATATCTGGCCTGGGCAAGCCGAACTGGGGTATACAGATCTCTGATTCAGATGATTTAAATTAGGGATTCTATATTATATTAATTATTTGATTTTAAAATTAAGATTGATTATATTTAAACCTATGATTGTGATTATATATTTCATAATTGTACTCTATTTTAAAATGCTAAATTATGCAAAGAGTTAATTTTTTGGCTTGTTCAGTCTTTACACTAAAACCCTGTAATTTGGCCTGAATACTAGTCTTTCAAACTTTGTGAAATATTTGAGAAAAGAAGGTGGGTAGTAAGACACTTGGTTGGGTAATTTGAAACTTGTGGTTTTGACCGATAAATAGGTCCTCATTGGAGATGTAAGTTGAGAACTCATTAGCTCTAGTGTCCACTATTTTAAGCCTTACGGTGCTCATTTAAAATTAAGCATTTTATTGTATTTTGTGAACTTATATGAACAAGTATTTCGCTTAGATAATATCAACTTTTACCCAATAATCTGACTCCCTGTCACAACACCGAATATCCCATTTTAATTTCAATAAGGTGTTGCGTCATACCCTGGGAGTGAGTGTCTCAGTTATTAAAACACTCTATAATTTACCACGTTACTGCTTTTGATGAATGGACTCAAACCGAATCGAATAATATATTCTTAAATTTGATACGGTCAAAAAATTTATCTATACCAATAAATCAATCATACACTATATGTTAAAAAAAAGAAAGGCCACGAAATTTTGGAATCTTCGCAAACGACTTTGAAAGAAACTTTGAAAGAGTTCATAAATAATCAAGAGAATAAATTCCAAACTCAAATATCCCAAGCAAACGCTTTAATAGAGAAAGAAAAGTATATTTAAAAAATAATAATTTTCTAGAAGGCTTTCAAATTAAGCAGAGTTTAAAACGCTGCTTAAATATTCTAAAAATTAAAAAAAATCTAAATTTTTTTTATATGAAGGGAAAATACGAGTAAAATTTAAGTCAATTCAGAAGAATTATACACTTGTTATACGTTTATTTTAAATTTAATAAGTATATAAGGTCTACAACAGGCTGGATAAAAAAATTTAAACATTGGGATAAAAAAATCGCTGAATTAAGTGGGCCTGAAAAAAGGGGCTCTAAAAATTAGTCATTAATTTTTTTGCTACTTAGGATAAGGCCTTACGAGAGTGTTCAAGCACATAGTGTAGGATGTTGCAAAGTATCGTTTCCAAAAATTTGTATATATAGGTCGTTTTCACAATTAATTCTAAAAATTTCCATATTTTTAAAGTTGGCAGTTTGAAAAAAATCTTTAAAAAATATATATATTTTTTTTATAAATTTCTGATTTCATCCTGAAAGATTTTTTTATATGCATGAACATTGCAAAATATTTACTTATAAAAATTTTGGTATTTTTAGTTAAATTTTATCAAAAATCTCTCTTCTTCAGAAAGAATCTCAAAGAATATTGCTCAAAAATTTTTGAAGATTTTTTTTCATACTCTGTCTATTCTGCGAATTATATATTAAAGTAATATGGAATTTAGCCTAAACCCTGTTTTGCACAAGTATGTGTAATAATCTTTGAAATTTAAATCAACGTATAAAGCACATTTTTTTAAAAAAAAAAATTTTTCACAACTTTGCCGTAATCGTTTTTCTACCCTACAAAAATTTAGACAATTTGGCCATAAAATTTCGATATTAATTTTAATTTTGACATACATTTTAAAATTTATTAATTAGTTTTAAAAACTCCTCATTTAAGATTTTAGCCAAAATAATATGGTGTAAACCTCGAAATTTGGCAGAAGTCTAAACCTTTCCACTATCTTTTGAGAAAAATCGGCTTATATAATATTATTTTGGCTAAGAATTTTAATCGGACGTTTTTAAAAATCCAAATCGGGCCGTTTAACAAAACTATTATTAATTAAAGCTAAATCAAAATTTCGCGCCTAAATGGTCTGTAATTTATAGGGTCCGGCAAAATCGATTCTCTAAAAATTCAAAAGAATTTTAACCCTAGATTCCTCATTTCCCTACAACATTATACATAATTTAAAACTAAAAATATTAATTTTTATAAGCTCTAATTTTTTTTATATATGACATTGACAACTCAAACGATCTGGCGTGGTTTTATTATTTCTTTGCCTTAAGCCCTTATTCATAGTTAGCGCGAATTCGCGCATTAATACCTACGAAAAGTTAATCAGATTCGAACTTCGCTACTCTTAAAAAAAATTATCGTTTTTCATTTTTTTTAGGTAGTCAATCAATAATATAAATCTGAATTCGGTTGTGATAAGAGTTTAGGAGTAGAATTAAAGACTTCCGGTTTTGATTTTTTTTTAATGATTCCGGTTTCTTTTTTAAAAAATGGAGGTTCGGGTTTCGATTCTTAAATTGGCCGCATTACGAGATTTTTAAATTTTGATTTCCGGTTCTAGACTCTTATATATTTATAAGTTAGTTGCTCTTTGGTTAGAACCGGGCTCTGAAAATTTAAAAATGAATTCTGATTCCAATTCCCTAGAGAAAGCCATTTTAAGATTATAAAGTGTAGTTTTATTTTTAAGGAATAACCTATGAATTTTATATTTAATACTTCTATAATAACAAAGAGTTTTAGAATGGGAAATTACACGAGCAATTTATCGAGATAAGCAGACGATACAAGATTTCAAAAACGATTTTTTGCAAGCGCAGAAATTACTTAAATCGAAAAAAAGTTATTTGTGTAGCAAGCGGAAACAGCTGATGGCGTTGGAAGATAAGATATTTGGAGGCAGAAATGATTCTAGCAAGATATCCAGGATGGTGGACGAATATTTAGAGATCCAGGCTAGGATTGACGAATTTAATTTAAAGAGTTCCTATTCTTAAATAAAAATATTTATTTTAAACTGAATTTTAATGACAATATTATATATAAATTAAATAAATATTGACATTTTAAAATAAAACTGAGTATAATTTTTTTTTTATTGAAAATATTATCTTTTCTAAAATTTATTTTATCTACAAAAATTGGGCTAAGTATTTTTGGTATAATTTTTTAATTAAATCTCACTAATATCAATTAAATTCCTCTGGAAGACAGCGATTTTAACTTTATCTCGATTTAACCTAATAAAAAAAGCTGGGTGAAGTATCATATCAACTCTTTGAAGGTTCTAACGATTATCTAGACATACCTAGTAAAACTTTCGAGAATACGGATCAAATCGAATTATTTGTCTCAAAAGATGGAAATGTAAAATGGTATTCAAATCCATCATTTTCAGACTCACCCCATGAATTAAAAAAATTTTAAATGATAATTAAATGCTTTTAAAAACAACTATCTTTATGTTTTTAATTTGTAAATAATAATCTTGATCTATAGCATTTGATTATTTATGTATTATTTAGATAAATTTTAAATTATCTTACAAAAACTTCTCCAATTTGTCATATTCCTTTTTAAAAAAATCTTCTTTGTCAATTTCATTATATAAAAATACTCATGAATTTATTCCTATTTCGTTAAACACAAATATGCCACCACAAGTCTATTTGATTATTTTATGTCGCTATTAAATATAAAAGTGATGAGCCAATTTTTTTAAACAGCGAACTCATGTTCCCTATATCTCGAGATTTTGCTAATAGATGTCCAAATCTTTGTGCCATCTATGACTAAAATCTCTAGGCTTGCATAATATTTTTCTGGAGAAAATATTGAGTTCGCCTTTTTTAAAATAGGCTCAAATTGAGTCGTTTAACAACACTATATAAAAGTATCAAAGCTACAACCGCATCTCAAGTCTCATATTTTAAAATAATGATAGGATTTTTTATAATGATAATAATATTCGATATTTTCATTTTTTTAATTGCTTTTATGCTTCTAGAATCTTCGTTCTATCTTATTTAATGAGATTAATTACTTTTATATTTATTAAACAAACTGAAAAGAAAAAATAACATCTATGAAGATCTTAGAATCATAAGATTCAAATATATCTTAAATCAGGGGGAAAGAGAAATCTTAATATATTCAGACCAAATTAATTTTTGATATTTAAAATTCGATATTTAAGATTCAGCTTAAGACTTGCCATGAGTGTTCTTTCGCTTATAACTGGTTTTTATTAATTAGCTGAAAAAAACTGATCGATGAATTAGTAAGTACTAATTATGCATCACATATTGTTGATTCTTCTATAATTTTCTTAGCATGCCATTTTTTTTTATTTTGTCAAAAAATATTTTTATTTAAACTATGTGCTAAACGGGTTGAAACAGTATACTCACTAATTAGACAAATAGATAAAAAAATTTAACAATAATAGTTTTTAAAATAATATATAAAAAATTTTAATAAAAGTTCGTGACATTAAATATTAGGAATCAAATTGTTGGCAAAAAAAAGTAAACTTTCAAGGAGTGTTATCTAAACATCAATTAACACTTATTATAAGTGAGTAATATTGAAACAAATTATTCTTTAGACCTCAGACAGTTATAATAAAAGTGATCGCAAATTGTAAAAATAACTTATAATTAAGCGATATCTATAGTATTTCATCAATAAAAAAAAATCTATAAATATTAAGTTACCGATACATTTCTATTTCCTGTCTTTGACATTTATCCATCTTCACTTTTTAATTTCGGCTAATATCAACGAGAATCCATGTTGTTTTAGTATAACATATAGGGATTTGCTAAATTAATATTCAAATTAGACGAGTAATGTTTTTTATAGTACTATAACTGATTCCATTTTTTTTACCAATAAAAAAACATAATATTGTAACTTTTTATAAATTTCAAAAATATTGACGGCCATTTTTCAAAATGTTAATTTTTTAAAGATGGTATTCTATTATTTCAACGAAGAAGAAAGTTTAAAGGAACAGACGATATATTTATGATTTCAAAATTAAATATGACCATTTCAAAATCTCGCTTTTTATATTTTAATACGATGATTTTTTTGGTAGATCTTAAATTGTTAATATTCTTCATAGATAAAAAGGAATATGGTAATCTTATTTTATAAATAATTAAGAATCTGACTATTATGTTTTAATTATAAATTACGGGTATGTAAAGAACAAATGAGTTGTAAAAATAAGATACTTTATGTTTTAATATTGTAATGGATATTTATTTTATATTGTATTAAGTGAAGGTGAACCATGTAAAAATTTTAGTTTCTATCCATTCTAAAGTCAAGATCGCCTCAGCTATTAAAATTGTCAATATATAAGATATTTTATTACGTAGTTGCTCTGACTATTGACATGGTTGAGGAAAATACTCTTATGCCTGAATATAAAATATGATAAATGCTAATGGATTATTCGAGATCATTTTGTTAAATATTCGATCCTTTTAAGAATTAATTCTTTTACTTAAAAAAATATATAAATTCAAAAAAAAATAATTTTTTTCTTTTGAATAAAATTAGAATATTATTTCTTTTAAACAATCTGTCTCCATCATATTTTATATTTTTCTTATAAATTTTATCAAGGATTTCCAAACTACAAGTTTTATTTATTGAAAAATGAAATAAATTATTAGGATTGAAAATAATGCACAACACAATGCACTTATTGAAGTGACAGATATTTAAAAACCTTTTGCCTTTTCTTAAGCTCCGTATAATAATGTTAATTATTATTTCCTAATATAGATTTCGTTCACTTTGTGAGAACAATACGTATTAGCAGAAATAATTCACCAAAAATTTAAGCTTAATCGGCCTTATATCAATCTGCTACAAAATCTGTTAGTAAGTTAATTACCTATCTAGATAACCTGCAGGATCAGTCACATGTAGATGCCTATTTAAATGAATTTATATATAAAATTGATGATTTCTTTGTTAAAAATTCTCCGCAAAATGCGTTTTCCCTTAATATTTTTATTATTTAAATGATAATTCAATTAATTTTTTTAAATTTAAAAAAATATATATTTATTGAATATAACAACTTATATTTTCTTAGTGAAAGACGTGGATGTTTGAATAAAAATTTAGATTTTTTTAACCTATTTTCCATTTATGATCAAAATCTCCAGTTGGCTAAAATCTTAATCGGGCCATTTAACAACAATAAAATAATGACATTCATAATAATCACAATACAAATTTATTTTATGAATTCTTGAGGAGAATTTAATACTTTAGAATTTTTCATAGGCGAATTTAAGCTACAATAATCAAAATGAGATAGAGTCTCTGCCATCAAGCAGTAACAGCTTTTAAGGAGTTAGAAGAGCCAATTATTTGCTATTACTGAAATATCACAATGGCCTGAAAGAAATATTTCCTCAGAAGCAAGAAAATTATTGGATTCAATGCTTATTCCAAATTTATTTCTCATTAGAATGTATTATTTAATTATACAACTATTTTAAGTATTACTTTTCAAAAACATGACTGACTTGATTAAGAAGATGATAGCGGGGAGTATTTTATAAGAACTCAAGGAAATTAGGGCTAATGTTGATAAAGAATTTCATATTTTATATTTTATTGTTGAGTCAAAGCAGAGCTATACGTGTTTAATATTTGTCTCACTCGACTTAACCCAAATAAATGAATTTTTAATTCATCATGCAGCACTTACTAATCTGCAAATAACTTCCACAAAAGCCTTCCCAACCTTTTTTACATGGTGATAGAAAAAAAAATATTTGTTAAATTTTTATTATGAAGATGTTAAAGTTTATGATGCCTTACTAGCTGAATAACTATGTTTATAAGATTAACTAATATTCATATAGCCTCAAAAAATGCTATTCATGCTCTGCATTATTTCAAACACATTTTAAATTAAATTCATAATGTATTAAAAGGGTTTATAAACTCTTCCCATTAGTAAACTAATGAGGAAACATTCTCTTTTTTAAGAAGAATAACAGAGGCCTGCAGAAGTACCATTTGCAGGACACGGCCCGATTTTTAAAGATTTTTTACGGCCCGGCCTAGGTTTTTTTTAAAAAATTTTCAGGCCCGGCCCGGCTTTATTTAAAAAAAATTTTAGGCCCGACTCGGCATTTTTTTAAAAAATTATCAGGCCCGACCCGGCTTTTTAAAATAAAATTTTCAGGCTCGGCCCAGATTTTTTTAAAATAATTATATTTATTTTTGATTTTTATAGCTAATAATAACGATTTCAAATATAGGCTATTTTAAAAAATACAGCCCCGATTGGGTGTTTTTTTAAAATAATTCAGGCCCGGCCTGGGTATATTTTAAAAAATTAAAATACTGTCCGGCCCGGGGCCGGGCCTGCAGGTCTCTGAAAAACATACCAAGATGTACAACATCTGAAAGGAGATTGAAAGGTTTGGATCTTTTGATTCATAGGCATTTGGCGAAAAGCAAGGATGAGATAATTGAAAAATTAGCTCAATCACAACGAAGATTGGATTTTACATTGTAAATGTATAACATACAAAATGCAATTATTCCTAAGAAACTTTTTTTATATAGGCTCAAAAAATTCAAATTTCTATTTTGGGTCATTTAAGTGATTCTTTACAGATAATTTTTCTATAATTCACATTAACTTAAATTTGTGTATTAGAAATAGTTAGTCCTAATAAATTTATGCTTGATATTTTTAAAAAACAATAATATTTCTTAAATTTTATTATCCCCCACCCAGACCAAATTCCAGCGTACTCGCTTGAAGTTTAGCAGTATTTAATATTTTACATCACATAAGGCACTTTTGCAGTATCTAAATAGACTTGTTTTATATAAAATAATTATGAGAAGAATTTCATATTTAGCATCACATTAAGACATTTTTGAAATATCTAATAATGTATTACTAGTCAAATACATTTAAAGTGGCTAATCATCATCATATTCTTTTATAAATTCCAACTAATTTTATTCATCTTTCTAATAATATATTATTCCTTTAAAAATAACACATATATATATATTTATTA